GGGCGACTGAGCCACCCAGGTGCCTCCCCCCAGCCCCACCAAATCCCTTAAAGTAATAGCTTTATATCTCAATGAAAGTTGCAGTATCTTGGCATTTTCTCCTAGATACTTATGTAGGCATTTCCTGTGAATGATTCTTCTATACAACCATAATACTGTTTAGGATACACTTAAGTCTTCACTTCAGTTTTAATTAGGAAACTAATAAATATTTGTTTCTGTGCTCCTAAGGCTTATCTAATTAATCTAGTAGAAAGCATTTTTTTGTAGAAACAGAATAGTGTCCTCATTTACTTCGGTAAAAATGGGAGCATTTTTGGTGGGTTATACACTGGTGCTTGGCGTTTTCATGGAGTATCTCCTTCACCATGCACCAAGAAAGATAGGTAAATGACTTTCACAACATTGTATTCACATGGTTAAAATGTCAAAGCAATGTAAACAATAATAAATTCATAAGTCTACCTCTACTGCCACGGGTAACAAGTTTTACTGCTTTCTTATATGTCCTGGTGTTTAGTTAAGCAAAATCAGATGTTCCTATTCTGAGGATTTTTTTACACAGAGAGTAGCGGACCATATATATGGTTCTCTACCTTGGTGTATTTCATTTTATATTAGATCTTAGATATTTTTCATGCCAGTATATAGAGTGTCCTCATTTCCTTCCCCCTCCCCCCCCAGTAGCTTGGTATTCCATTGGTGCATAGCCATACATCCATTAAAGGACTCTTGGATTGTGTCCAGTCTTTTCCCGTTAGAAGCTGCAATAAGTAAATAACCTTGCCCATGTGTCATTTCATACACAGAGAATTTGAACTTTCTTTATGGTTTTTTAAGGCTAACTCTTAAATCTGTTGTCTTCTTTGTTATGGAACACTTGTACTCTGAAGAGTTACCTTATTTTACAAACAGAAATGGAATAGAAATCTGAAATTAAGGCAAAATACTTTTCTTAAGATTAGAGTGAGCCAGTCTTACATTGACATTCTTTGGGTGCTTTTTTAATTGTTCCCCATATTTTAATTTTCTCAGTGCCTTAGCATTATTTCATTTTAGGAAGGCTTCATAGGCATGGCTTACGTCACTTATCTGATGTTAAGAACATTTTGGTGTCAGGGGTTGCTCTTTGCTGTTACTATTTTTAGTTTTCCACTATATTCTTGGAGTTAAAAAATGAGGAAGAGTTTTTTTCTAGATGCTAATGTAAAACTAAGTGATATTTTAACAGATAGAAATTTGAATTCATTCTTTTTAAATTACTAAAATTAAACATTTGTTGCAAAAAAAAGACCAAACTACAGACTACATGTCTCTGTAATTGCTTTCCTAATCAACAGTATGAGGTGGTGTTAGCAGTTTCAAAGTTAGCCTTCCAAAGAATTATTATGTACATATATTTTTTGTATATATAAACGCAAATATAGTTTCTATAGTATATTAACATACTTTATGTTATATGAAGCATTATCCTCAAATGATAGGATTTAAAATGCAATATATTTAATTCAGAAATGTATTGCCCCCTTGAAGCATTGATGGCTTTGTTCTAGCGATTTTCAATATTTATCCATATGCAGCCTCAATACTTTTGTTGAATTACTTGTAATCTGTCAAGATGACCAATTTGTGTGGCCTCCTTAATGCAAACGCATTTATAGCAGTTTGCCTTTTTGATCCATGTTGCACAGCTGTTGAAAAGCTCCAAAAAATTTTTAAGAGAAGGGAAAAATGCAGATGACCCCTCGCCCCCACCCCCGCCCTTTCTTTACAGAGCTAGTATTGTAGATTTTTAGACTTTTAAAATTTGAACTTTAGTTTCTTCTACAAGTGACACATGAAAACATTCTTGTTGAAAACCTAGTTAGTCACAATAAAATCTTACTTGGCTTTAGTTAAGGCTTCACAGACACTGTGGAATGGGGGCAAGCTGGGTGGGTCATGAGGGGGATGTGCTGATGGACACCCTTTTTTTCAGCAAGCCACTTTTTGGACATGTTGGGAGGATTTTTGTATGATAGATGTTTAGATGCCTGACTTAAGCTATTTTTGAGTATTAGCTGATAGTGTTGGTAATACATATAACATGTAAGAATTTCTCTGTAGGAAAGAAAAGAAGTTTTTTTGGTTAGGAGTAAGAGAGAAATGGTTTGCTTCCTAGCTTCTTATCTTGGCAATTGTTCCTGCTAAGGTAAGTTAAGAATGGGAGCAGTTAATCCCTGTAAGAATACACAGTATGCTACCTCTTGGATAATTGTCTTTTAGAAGAATGCTTGTCTTTTGTACCTGGGCATGAAATCACTGGAGGAGAGCTACACATTTCAGCATGTGACATGGTTAAGGGGTGGTGATAAAATTACTCTTTCTTATTTGTTTGTGTGTATTTCTATATTTCCTACTCTAGCCTTTCCTCATTACTAAGGTTGTATGATTGTTGTGCAGCCATTTGAAGAGCCATAAATAGTGTTTGCTTTTGGTCTTCTTTGTTAGTCCATTATATGAAAATATCTTGCAGTCTACACAGCTTGCTTCTCACCCCTTTGGATATGGATCCTTAGTAAGTCCGTTAGCTTCTCTGAGTTTTCTATATTAAATTGAACACCAGTCCTTCAAGTCATATACAACAGCCTCTTGATAGCCAAATCCATCTGATTATAGATTTGGATATCTAACCTTCAGAAAGTGAGTTTGGGTATCGAGATCTGCATTGTCTTGATGTATTGTCTCTGGGTCTGAGTTTTGGGAAGCACATAATAGAGTTTGGGTAGCAGGGGGTTTGTTTAAAAAAATGAATCAAATTGGTTCAGTTTCTGTACTTACAGATAAGAGAACCTAGACACAGAGTTTAGATAATAAGGAACACTTGTGTATTAATCTACTGTATACATTGAAAAAAGGTATACACAAAAGTGTGAGATCGTAGATCAGAAGTTGGAGGAGACTTCAAAAGATATTTTAACCAACTTCCTATTTGATTCTTTCATAAACTAGTCTTTCATTTTATGCTTGGACATTGGAAGTGATTAGAAGCTAACGGTGTTACGGTTCTTTCTGGTTTATTCTAAGTGTTAGAGGAGATCCTGGACTGTAAGATCAACCATAAAATGGGAATGGCTGAAAATGTGTCTTGTAAAACTTGAAAAGTGCTATAATTGGGTGGATAAAAAAGTGACTTCTAGAAAAGTAATATTCAGTGGACCATTAATAATGTTGTAACAAATGTTGTTATTATTGTATTGTTTAATTCTCTTATCTCCAGTGGTCTCTGTTGCCTGCAGAAGTACCACTTATAGCATAAGGACCTTCAAAGAGAATGCATTAGATTCATTTTCTTTCTTGGAAGCTCTTTACTGTCCCACTTTTTGAAGGTTTGTACTACTTGGATTCCACCTGAGCCCAGAATACTGTCCATTTCCTGTTGCCCATTCTTTGTCTGCTTTGAACAATTGGATTCAGGTTATCCACCTCTTTCTTCTTCATCAAGCCCCTAGCCCCTTCTTAGGTCATTTCTGGGTCTTTAGCCTCTTCCTGGACCATACCTTTCCTGGCACTCATCTTTTGCTTGGATTCTTTGGCAGAAGCATTATAGGATGGGGCCCCTCTGGTGTGATTGGTTTGCTGAATGAGATTTCATATCTTGGGTTCCTCAGTTCCTCAGTTCCCTTCTCCACTGTTGCCTCATTGTACACTGTTTTCTAGTATCAAAATGGAATAGACTTTTCTGAGGAACTGAAGTGCTAACTTGTCCATCCAGTCTGGGTGCACCTGTTGAGACGTGGTGGTCATCGTGTTAGGCAAGGTGCAAGGCCTCCTAGCACTGGTAAAGGTTGGCCAGGCCAAATGTGCCCTTGCACTGCTGCAGTTGACTCATGCTGGGCCTGGGTCCAGAGTGGGCTACAGCTCAAATTGAAGACTTTTTGATGGAAGGGAATTTGCTCATCTGTTTCTATCTGTGGCACAGAATCTTGAGCATAATGATGTGTTAGAGTGAAATAAGTCAGGCAGAGAAGGACAGATACCATATGTTTGCACGTGTAGGAGGAACTTAATGGAGGACTGTGGGGGAGAAGGGGGGAAAATAGTGGGGGAGAGGGAGGGAGGCAAACCATAAGAATCTTGAGTGCTGAGAACAAACAAGACTGATAGGGGTGGGGGAAGGGGGGGGTGATGGGCATAGAGGAGGACACTTGTGGGGATGAGCACTGGGTATTATATGGAAACCAACTAGACAATAAACTATTTAAAAATGTGTCTTTCAAAGTTAAGTAAGAAGCTGAGAAGGGAAGTTAAAGCTAAAATTTTATTCTTTTAAAAACAGTCTCTGCGATATTTCACAATATAGAATTTTATTTTTGTTGAGCTGAGGAAGGGAACAAATTTGAAGGTAGACTTAGACAAGTCCAAGTTAGGATCTCCTTAATGGTTAAATTGTGTCATGGCTTTTTCTTTGCAGAGTAATAAATAAAAAGGTCTTGTAACTTTGATCGGCTCTTGATTAATTTGCAATTGGAAATGGTGCTACATATTTAGTCTATAGACTCATTTTCGACCATTTTATGTGGAACCATAATACAATCCAATATAGCTGGATTAAGTGTTTACTTTTAATTAGAGGCCCCAAGAGCAAAGAGCAATAAAGAAGACATTCCATATTGGTATCCCCCTCATCCCCAGTTTTCTCGCATTTCTGATCTGGATGGTCTTTCTGTTGAAGCGAATATATGTACCAGTTACTTAGTACTTTGCCATAGAAAACCAATTAAAAATTATCACCTCAATTCTTACCAGGAAAGTTTTTGAATAGCCCTCTTTGGGAAAAAAAAAAAGCATATAAGCATAGTTTAAAAAGAATGCAGTTAGCTATAATAGGAATTCAGTTCTTTGAGAGGAAGGTAATCCGTTACCTATTTTTTTTAACTATTTCAAATAATGCCCCTGTTCATAGAAGGTCCTTGGGATATTGATGTCATGATGAGTAAATGAGAATAATTTCATTTTAGGGTCCTGATGAGGAAGCTGTTGTGGATCTTGGCAAGACCAGCTCAACGGTGAACACCAAGTTTGAAAAAGAAGAACTAGAAAGTAAGTTTGTTTGAAATAACCTATGCTTAGCACATAAATTACTAATGAAAGTTTGTTGCTTTTCTTTAAATTTCACCTGCTATTTGAGGAAACTTTGTTATTGTTGTGAGGTAGAGCCTACATTGGGGAGAATGTTTTAACACTTTACTAAATATAGCTTGAGGGGTAATACAGCAAACACCCAGGTAACCATAATCATATCTGTCCATAGAACATTCCTTGATTATCTCTGTTGAAAGTATTGGCATAATGTAGATTTCAGAGTATGATTTTCAGATTTCATTGGTGGTTACCATTACTTACCTTGGGAAATTAAAATACCACAGTTACAAAATCAGTTGATTCTTTTTTTCCCCCCGTTTCTAGCAGGCTAGGTGATACGTGTTTTTAGCAAACTAGAGCGCCAGGCTAATAAGCCCTGGTTATCATCAGTTGTCATCTAGATGTTGATATTCTAGGTCTGTTACATCAGCCTTTTGAAGTACTGTAGTAACCTCAGCACAGAATTATGGAGCAAATGAATTAATTGCTAGTCTGTCTTCCAGGAACAAGTCCTGGTGAACGGTTTCTTCTTTTTTTTCCTTCTGAAATAATTTTAAATTTACAGGAGAGTTGCAAAGATAGTACAGAGGGTTCCTGTATACCCTTCACCCAGCTTTTAAAAATTTTAACATTTTATGTGGCCATCGTAAGTTAATGAAAATGAAGACATTGATATTGGTATATTTCTATTAACTAGACTACAGATTTTATTCAGAGTTCACCAGTTTTTCTCCTGATGTGCATTTTCTGTTCCAGGATCCAGTTGAACAGCTCAGGATCGGATAGTACATGTAGTTAATTGTGCCATCTCCTTGGCCTCCTCTGTGACAGTTTTTCGGTCCTCCTTGTTTTTCATGACCTCGACGTATTTGAAGGGTAGTGGTTAGATACTTTGTAGAAAGTCTCTATGTTTGGGTTTGTCTAATGTCATCATATGAACAGACTGAGATGGGGAGCAAACCACAGAAGCAACATGCTTTTTTCAGTGTGTCATGTCGGGGGACAGGTGATATCAATGTGACTTGGTGATGTTAACCTCAAATACTTGGTTAGGGTGGTGTTTGTGGCAAATGTCTTGATAGACTTATTTTGGGGTCTTTTGGAAACTACATTTTTAAGTTATAGCTTCTTGTGAAAGCTGGTACCATATGGGGGCATTAATCTGCTGCTTTTAAAAAGGAGATGAAAAGAGGCAAGTAAGTGTTCTCCATATTTACTTTATGAGAAGAAAGAAAGCCCTATTTTTAAAAATTCACTTGGTTTTTTACTTTTTAAATTTTTTAGTGTTTATTAATTTTTGAGAGAGAGAGTGCGTGAGAGCAAGAGTGCAGGAACAGGGGAGGGGCAAAAAAAGAGACACAGATCTGAAGCAGTCTCTGAGCTGTCTGCATAGAGTCCAATGCAGGGCTCAAACCCATGAGCTGTGAGATTATGACCTGAGCTGCAGTTGGATGCTCAATCAGCTGAGCCACCCAGGTGCCCCTAAAATTGACTTTAAAAGTCTAGGCTTACTAAGGGCTTCTAGAAGGAACCTCAGTTATTTAGAAGCTTATGGTTAGATCCTGTGAATTCCAGGGACTAGGGCAGCAATAATTTTGTCAATTAAAATGTACAGTGAATCCATCATTTAGCATTTAATGTCACCCCTCAAATATGTGCAACCCGGAACGTGAAGAATGACTTAGTTACACGTTTTTTTGCTTCCCTTGGTTACCCCAGAGCCTTTAGGTGTACTGTATGTATCTAAATTTTAGTATCAAGTCTGAGGAAGAGATTAAGTTTATCTCAGAGTTTGACTGAATAGGTCTTTGACAGAACAAAGTTAAATGTTAGAGAAAAAGGAAAGAAAAAATTATAACAGAGGACACCAACGGTGATAATAAAAGCCCAATAAACAATAAGGCTTGATCTCCCAGTCTCTGGATTCTGGCATATTCCTGTTTACTTATTCTTTCTAAATTAGAAACTGCTATAATTTATTTTTATTTTGGTGTATTGGGGCTGTGTGCCAGAACCCATTAGTACTAATTGGAATACAACTTTGTAATTCCCAGGGCACAGTGATGAGAATTTGACTCTTTAGTTTCCATTCTTCTGTAGTGTTCAGAAGAAAATAGTTGCACTAAAATTAAACAGAAATCATGAGTTTTGTTCTAATTTTTTTTTACTTTTCTTATTGAAATACAGTTTGTTTTACATAAATTTAATATTTCAGTGTATAATTAGTGGTGCCTGGGTGGTTCAAGTAGTGAAGGTCCAACTCTTGATTTCAGCTCAGGTCATGATCTCACGGCTGTGAGATTGAGCCCTGTGTTGGGGTCTGGGCTGAGCATGGAGCCTTCTTGGGATTCTCTCTCTGCATCTGTCTCTGCCCTTACCCTGCTTGTGCTCACTTCCTCTCTCTTCTCTTCTCTCTCAAAATAAAGAAAAAAACATTAAAAAAAAATAAAGTGTGTAATTAATTCTTTAAAGTATCTTCACTGTGCTGGGCGGCCATCATCCCTCTGATTCCAGAACATTTTCATCATTGCTCCCCCTACCCCAGTGCTACAGAAATGATTTTGAATTTTGTGATTTTCTGGTAAAATTTTAAAAAATTGATAGTTGATTTCTACAATTTAAAAAAAAATCTAGGGCCTACCATGAATTAGTCAGAGTGTTGGGTACTGGAAGACGTTTAAGCAGCTAGTTTTAATCCATTGTATTTCTATTGGTCTAGTTCTCTTTTCCTTTAAATGTGATTATTTAGTTTTCTGATATTAATATATTGGCAACTGAAAACAAGAAATCAAGAGTGTCACCTTTTTCAAACTTAGCTGGGTATGTGTGTCTTGAGCAATTCAAATTTTTTGCTGCTCTGGTTATTTGTAAATGACTGCAGAATTGCTAGCAGTATTGATTTTGGGGTTATAAATAAATTTTAGCGAGTTGGCAAATTGGAAAATAAAGAATTCACAAATAATGAGGATTCGCTGTACTTTCAAATGTCATGTAAAGATGAAGATCTTGAGTTTCTTGAGGTATTTATTTTCTGACCATCTTAATGGAACTTGTTAGGAAAAGAGTGTCCTTAACTATTCATATTTTAGCATGTTACTTTTTAAATGCGCATAATGGCAAAAAGCAGCTCTGTGCCAGAAGGCTTTTGCATGATTGCAAGTTAGTTAAATTTGTATCCCACCACCCCTTTCACTTCATACAGCTTATATAGAAACTTTACTTAAACCATTTAAGAAATCAAGTTCATGCCTCAGTATTTGACATAGTGCTGCTAGCTGTCTAGTTCCCCAATTAAGTTTTACTTAGCGGGTGAAAGCATAGACTGCCTTTCATAACTGTTTTGTTGGTTACAGTACAAACTCAGAATAATGCATCATCAGCAGTAGCTTTTTATATCCCAGAAGCATATGATAACCATATTGCATTGCTTTCCCTTTCAGTGTAACAATTTATGCCTTTTAATTCAATTATTTGGACCATTTACATTTAGTGTAACTTTCAGGAATTTGGACCTTACTGATTAGGGATTTTTAAAACTTTGCAATTAACAAATATTTATAAATGTCCATTGTGAATATTGATTATATATTATCATTAAGATATATCTCTTAAGGATCTCTGTCAACTAGGGTTGACATTAAATGTAGATGGAATAAATTTATGTTTGCATAGTATGATTTCAGATAGGCCAAGCTCTTCTTTCTAGAAATATGTTTGTAGTTGTGCATACTAATGCTTACAAAAGTAACCTGTTTATCTAGTATGTTTCTCAGTCAGTGGTATTAACCCATGATGTAACCTTCTATTTAGTGCTCCGTAAGATAAAGGAACAGGAAATAACACTGTTTATTGCATGAACTTACATATAATTCTTTTTTATCAAAGTAAATTTTGGTATATTTTTATGTAATTACTTTTTTCCCTTTTCGAAAACTAGTAACGTTTCTCTACTTTTGGTTAGGTCATCGAGCTGTTTATATTGGTGTTCACGTCCCGTTTAGTAAAGAGAGTCGTCGGCGTCATAGGCACCGTGGACACAAACATCACCACCGGAGGAGAAAAGATAAAGAATCAGATAAAGAAGATGGACGGGAGTCTCCTTCTTATGGTAAGAGAAGACAGTAGTTCTCTGTAAACACATTAAAATTCTTTCCTGGAAAGCTTTGTTTAAAAAAAAAAAAAAAAGTGGAAGATTTTCTTTCTTAAATTTTATATTTGTGGTAATTTTGACATAATTTTATAAAGCTTGAAGAATACTAATTGAAGTAGTATTTTTTCTGTAAGAAAGATACTTACTTTATAGGCTAAGATCTACTTGGGAGAAGTGAAAAAAGGTAGGGACTTTGTTTTGTTCATCGTATTTATTCCAGCTTCAGGATCATAAAATTTGAGTCTTGACATGTATGCTTTAATTTGGTGTGGTTTTATTTCCTTTTTCTATTATCGATCTCATTGTTTATATATGCAGGGAACAAATATCTGGAATCTTCAGGCTCCTGGATGAGATTTTTTTTTTTTTATTTTTAAACACATTTCTTGGCTAGAAATTTTTATCCCCTAAGTTGAACTACTTGGTTATCTGTGCAGAAAAGAGTGCTCTGATTTGATAGTATTGTCTATGAAAGGACAAGATTTTTGTTTGAATGTAGAAAAATATAGAAGTGCCAATAGACAGGAAATCAGAAAAAAAAGGTATAGTGTAGAGGAAAGAGAATGTTATAATAAATATTGATAGTACTGATTTAAGTGGCCCTGAGAACTGTGAACGGTGAGAGCCAGAAGAAACAGTGCAGTCTGAGGAGGACCTTTAAGGCATTGCAGATAGTGGACATAGAAGGCATCAATATTTTTTTAGGAAGTAGTGGCCCTACACAGCCATCTCTACATGGGTCCTAGAGTGTGTATTAAGAAAGTTAGGTGAGCAGTACCCTGTCAGCACTTGTGTGCAATGCTAAAGCAACATTTTTGTGAAGAAGAGGGAATTCCTATGTGTAATTCCTCTACAGCGTAAATATGATGCTTTGCCAATTCTGTGCTAAGCATTCCACCAAACTCTCGACATAATGCTCTTTGATTTAAATCTGTCTGCACTTTTAATCTCATTTAATTTATTTTTAGTTTTTATTTTAATTCCAGTTAGTACAGTGTTACTCTAGTTCCAGGTGTGTGGTATAGTGATTCAGCAATTCCATACATTACCCAGTGTTCATCATGATCAGTACATTCCTTAATCCCCGTCACCTATTTCACTCATCCCTCTAATCCCTTCCCCTCTGGTGACCATCAGTTTGTTCTCTGTAATTAAGAGTCAGTTTCTTGGTTTATCTCTCTCTCTTTTTTTTTCCTTTGCTCTTTTGTTATATTTCTTAATATCCACCTATGAGTGAAATCATTATGGTATGTGTCTTTCTCTGACTTACTTCACTTAGCATTATACTCAGGCACTATGCATGTCATTGCAAATGGCAAGATTTTATTCTTTTTTATGGCCCAATAATGTTCCATTGTCTGTGTGTATATATATACTATATATATACTACATCTTTTTTATTCCTCTCTGCACTTTTTAAAAGACAGATACTGTTTTCATTGTAGGTGGAGACATTTCAGCTTAGAGAGACTAAATGTGATGGGAATCTCTTAAAAAGCTGTACTAAAAGATCATACATGGCCTAGTACACGATGGCCTAGTATAATATTAAGTGGTCACAGAGTTAACAAAAGTCCTATAGGTAGCAAAGGAAAAACTGATACTAATTTCAGAAAGGATCACTAGTGAACTTTGATGCTACTAAGTAATTTAGAAGTATTTTTCTGTTCTATAGGATGCATCCATCGAGTTTAGTATATCTTATGCTATTCTGAGTAGATCAATATGCTTCTCTAATTCATGTGAATAAAAACGTACACAATATTTTTATAGGATTCTGCCTACTAATTTATAAGTATAATTTGGTAGGTGGTTTGATGTTTCAAGCTAAGTTACGACATTTGAAGTCTAAATTTAGTGGTTTGAAGAATTTGGTGGAGGAAATGTTTGTGACTTAATGAAACTTTCTTATCCTTAGAAAAGTTTTATGCCACTGGAGTAGGTTTATTTTGGTTTTAACTGCTAATATGTATCTAAGAAATTGCTTTGGATGATATCTCTTCTTTCTTGCCCCCAGTCTTCTAAATGTAGATTACATAGAACTTTGCTTCTGGACATGATGGAATAGTATGAATTCGATTTCCCCTCTCATTTTAAATATTAGAAAAATAGGCAAAATATATTAAACAGTAATTTTTAGGCATTGGACAACAGACAGTTTCTAGGCCACAGCACAGGAAGGGGAATTTGGAACAGAACCTTCCTTGCAGGCTCTCAAAATTAAGACAGAGATTGGAATTTGGGAAGGCCAAAGAAGCTAGTCAGGTGTGGAATGCCAGAGAGTAGAGCGCTACACACAGAGAGGGTTCCAAAGGTCGAAGAAGGGTCCTTTTGAATTTTGGTTGAGTACTAGTCTAGGCCAAAGGAGGCCTGAGAAATAGCCATCGGAAAGCAGTAGACTAAATTGTTCTTGGATTTCACCTAAGACTGGGAATAGGGTGTGTTCCCATCAGTCAGAGTGGAAAGACCTTGACCCGCAGGGCATTGTGTAGAGTTCTCAGAAGGTTACTGCCATAATAGTGGGTCTTAATTAGTTTTGCACTAAAAGCTGCAGTAGATCTGCTCCAAAATTTTTTAAAGCAGGTCTTGAAAGAATTAAATTAAATTAAAGGTCTTTGCTAGGGTAAAATATAACACTACTAAAAGAAATACTATAAAATCTAGCACTTAAACATGTAAAATTCACAATATCTGAAATCTCCAAATTACTTGAAATATGAAAAGTAGGAAGATATGAGCCATAACCAAGAGAAATAAATCAATAGAAACAGATCTAGAAATGAGAGAATGGATGGAATTAAAAAACAGTATATTAAAGCAACTATATTTGTTTTGAATGTTTAAGAAGATAGAGGAAAATGTAACTGTGATGAATAGGGAGTTTGAAAATGTAAGAAGGCCCAAATAGAACTTCTAGAGATGAAAAATATGGTATCTTAAATGAAAAATACCCTAGGTAAGAGTAACAGAAGATTTGACTCAATAGAAAAAAAGGATCAGTGATTTTGAAGACAATACTGATAGAAACTACCCGAAGTTAAACAGAAAAGCCTGAAGTAAATAAATAGAGTATCAGTAATTTGTAGAACAATATCAGTTAGTCTAACATATGTATAATTGGAGTGCCAGAAAGGAGGGTGGCAGAAAAAAAAATTTGAAGAAATAAGAGTTGAAAATTTTCTAAGTTTAATGAAAACTCTGAACACACAGGTTCAAGGAGCTCAACAAAGCTCAAGAAGAAATATGAAGAGAACCACACAAAGGCACATAAAAATTAAATTGCTGGAACTGGGGTGTATCAATCCTAAATGAATATGCATGTAGTAAAAGCTTCAAAATACATGAAGCAAACTGATAAAATTGAAGAGAGATCAATTTATAGTTGTTGGATACATTTATAAGGTTTTAGATTTTAACTCTTTTCTCAGTAGTGACTACAACAAGTTAAGAAAATCAATAAGTATATAGAAGATCCAAATAATACTCTCAATGGATTGATATTCATATTCATTGAGGCCTCCATGCAACAAAAGCAGAATAAACATTTTTAACAAGTACAAATGAAATGTTTCCCAAGGTAGATTATATTCTAGTCCATAAACAAGTCTTAATACATTTAAAAGATTGAAAGTGTATTCTCCGACCACAGTGGAGTTAAATTACAAAAAAATTAAGAAAAATCCCCAGATATTTGGAAATTAAACAAGATGCTTTTCAAAAACCCGTGGGTTAAAAGCAGTCACAACAGAAATTAGAAAATATTCTGAACTCATAAAAATAAAAACACAGTACTGGCAAGAATTGAAATAAAATCTTGCAAAGTGAGGACATACTTCTGGTGTGCAGTTTCATTTAGCATGGTACTTTGCAAAGTTAGGACTGCCCATATATATTGAGAATTGTTAGATGCAACCAAAGCAGTGCATAGAGGAATATTTATAGCCCTTAATGCTTATATTTGAAAAGAAAGATCTGAAATCAGTGACTTACGTTTCTAACTTAAGAAACTAAGAGAAAACATAGAACATATTAAACTAAAGTAAGGAAAACAAAAGAAAAATTAAACTAAAGCAGAAATGAATAAAATAAAAATCAGAAAAATAATAGCAGAAATCAATTAACCTGAAATCTGATTCTTTGAAAAAAAAAACAGTAAAATTGATAAACTTGTAGCTAGAGTGATTAGGAGGGAAAAAAACAGAAATAAATTACCAGTAACTGAATATTTTTGTACATATACTACAGATATCAAAAGACTAATGAAGGAATATTATGAATGATTTTATGCCAACAAAATTGATAATTTAGATGAAATGAGGAGATTCCTTAAGAATAATAGCTACTAAAAATTGATAACCTAAATTACCCTATGTGTATGAAGAAATTTGTAGTTTAAAACAGTTCAACAGTGAAAATGTACTCCCAAAGCATTCATGGATGAATCCAATCAAGCATGTAAGGAAGAAATTATACAGACTGCCAGAAAATTGAAGATGAAGGGACAGTTCCTAACTCATTTTTATGAATCCAGCATTACCTTGATACAAACACTAGATACAGATGTTACAAGAAAATAAAACTACACACTAAATATTTCCCATGAATGTAGTTTCAGAAATTCTAACAAACTAAAAAGATACTTTATACAGCAGTATAAGAGGATACTGTAATATGACTGTGTTTGGGGGCTGAGGGGAAGTAAGTTCTCTCAAGATATGTACCTATTTCTAATATCTGGAACCTGTGAATGTTGATCTTAGAGCAAATTTTGAGTTTACAGATTATGATTAAGTTAAAGATTTTGAGGTGGGAAGATTATAGTGGATGATATAGGTGGGCCAGTTGTAATCACAGGGGTCCTTATGTAAGAGGCAGTCCAAAGATCAACGAAGCAGTAGATGTGACAGCAGAAGCAAGGGGTTGTAGTAAGGGGCGGGGTTCAGACCCAAAGAATGTAGGCAGCTTCTAGAAGCTAGAAAAGGTAAGGAAATGGATTTTCCCCGAGAGCCTGCACAAGGACCGACCCCATGATGTTAGCACTGTAAGACTCATTTTTGATGTCTGGTCCCCAGAACTACATAAGAGAATAAATTTGTGTTTACACCACCAAGCTTGCAGTAATCCGTTACAGCAGCAATAGGAAATTAATGTGATAACCATGTGGAAAAGCATGGTTGGTGTAAAATTTAAGTATCAATATAAGTATCTATATTTATGCTATAAAGGAGAAAAGCCATGTATTTATCTCAATCGGTACAGAAAAAGCCTTTTGACAAAATTCCACCCTCATTCATGATAAAACTCTCGGCAAACAAGGAATAAGAGAAAACTTCCTCAACCAGATACAGAGCATCTATTAAAAAAAAGCTTCGATAGCGTCACGCTTAGTGCTGAAGAGATGGAACGCTTTCAGTGCTGAAGAGATGGAACGCTTTCTCCTTCTGATTTGGAGAAAGGCCAGGTTGTTCTCTGCCGCTTCTATAGAACATAGTACCAGACGGCCTAGTCTGTGTATAAGGCAAGAAAGAAATTTAAAGGCCTATGGCTTGCAAAGGAAGAAGTAAAACTATCTTTATTCACACATACAGGATCATGTATCTAGTAAATCCTAAGCAAATCTATGAAACTGCAGAACTAAGTGGGTTTAGCAAGGTTGCAGTATACGCAGTTACATTTCTATGTATTTCTCTAGTAGCAGCAAACAATCAGAAATTGAAATTAAAAATATACCACTTATAGTGGCACCAAAAGTACTGCTTGAAGATAAATCTGATGAAGGAGTTGTAAAACCTAGATGTTGAAAGTTTCAAAACATCAGTAAGTTCAGTCACCGTATGTTTCAATGTGTCCTGCATATTCCTGTTTGATTTTCTTTTCTTTTTTTAAAGTTTATTTTATTTATTTTGAGAGACAGTGTGTGAGCAGGGAAGGACAGAGAGAGAGAGAGGGAGAGAGAATCCCATGCAGGCCCTGGCTCCAGCACAGAACGTGACATGGGGCTCGGACCCATGAACCTGAGCTGAAGCCAGGAACCTAACTGGCTGAGCTACCCAGGCACCCCCTGTTCGATTTTCTTACTCTGTTCTCTACATCTCTGAACCTTTTGTGTTTCCCATCTTTTTATTTGTCATTGATGCATTCTGTCCAGTTTCTTCAGATCTGTCTTTTCCTACGTGAATTCCTTCCACTCTTTAACCTGTTCGTTGCACGTGAAGTGCCTGGAGGGGGTGTTTACTTTGGTGTAAGTTTTGAGTGTGATTCCATATCTCATGTTCAGCAGGTTTTGATTTTGTTTGCCATGGATGCTTTTGGTTGTTTGGTGGCCGCAGGGCTTTTAACTGTCCTGAACTAGGATTTATACTACTTTCTCTAGAGAGCCTGTACTGTGTAGGTAGTTGAAGTTCAGATGCCACAAGTACGGTATCTGTTTCTTAACAGTGAGTGTCCTGCCTCCCTAACCTCAGCTGATAGAGTTTTACTTCTCTGTGATAGTAGGAGAGGCCAGTTCCTGTAGCCCCTAGGTTTGCTTTCTCTCATCATGTTTTGGACCTTGGGATTTTCCTTTTTCACTCTCGAACTTAGCTACCTATTACATATTTTAAAAACTTCTTTTCGTCTAACACGTTCCTATATTTTGAGTGAGAAGAGAGTTCTCTCTTTGAGCATAGTGTTCCATGGTTTTGGATGTTGCTCATTTTTATTTGTTTTTACATCAGTTAAAAGATTAGTTTCACTTGTTTATTTTTTTTTAAAGATTTTATTTTTAGGTAACCTCTACACACAGCATGGGGCCCGAACTTACAACCCGGAGATTCAAGGGTCAAATGCTCTACCAGCTGGGCCAGCCAGGCCTCCCTCACGTGTTTATTTTTAACATAGAACTTTGCTTTTTTTGTCTGTGGCGGTGACCTCTCCGTGATATTCTGTGTGTCTGGACTGTTGGTTCTTGTGTCCTTCCAGATTTATAGTGTTTTAATAAAAGAGTTTCGATGGATATATTTTGATTTATGACAAAAGCATCTCACTCTCAAACTGAGTTTATCTTTGAATGACTTGTGGCAGTTTCTGAGTATATTTAAATTCTTTTGTTAAGACACACCATCCCAAAGAGTTCAGTTCATCCTCGGTACTGAGGACGACGATGAGGAACACATTCCGCACGATCTCTTCACGGAGATGGACGAGCTCTGTTACAGAGATGGAGAAGAGTACGAGTGGAAAGAAACCGCCAGGTAATAATTCCGAGTCTCTGTATTTCGTTGACTTTCCTTGATTCCTTCTTGTAATGTTAATATAATGAATTTATGAGCGATCTGGTGCTTTAAAATAATGGGCAGAGTATTTCCTCCTGTCTGGAAGTTTCATCTTTAGTGTCTCTCTTAATTCTCAAAATTCATTTTCTTCAGGAATCCCATAACAATTTAATATAGCACAGAAGGGATTATATTAATTGTGCTTCAGTGTCTTTAGTTAGAGAAATACATTTGAAAAATCATGGTCCTGCTGCATATTTTCAGGTTAAATGAGGATTAGAAGTGGAATCTCTGAAATTCCACACCGTGTCGCCGTGGTGTTAGTTAGAATAGAGGAGGAGCTGTCAGTGAGGATAGATACTGTGGACCATTAGTGTGATTTGTAAAGATGTGCCTGTAGACAAATTTTGTGTTGGTGGTAGTGATCTTTGTTTCTCTTTAAAAGCACAGGTTTATGTTTTTTATATTAAAATAAGCAAATAATAAGGATTTCATTATTTATGATCCTCATTATTTATAAAATATTTTTTATGCATTACACTGTCAGGTGGCTGAAATTTGAAGAGGATGTTGAAGATGGCGGCGACCGATGGAGTAAACCTTATGTGGCAACTCTCTCTCTGCATAGTCTTTTTGAATTAAGAAGTTGCATCTTAAATGGAACAGTCATGCTGGATATGAGAGCAAGCACTCTAGATGAAATTGCAGGTGATAGCAGTTTGGCCTTTTTAATACTTAATTTGTACCGCAGTGAGGGGTATTTAAGTAAGGGACGTGTGCTGGAATTTTAGACCATTGGTTTAACGGCTCGGTGTTGAGTTTCCATGTGCAGGACCACGTGAGGAGTATACACACAAATAACACTTTTTATCTTTAATAGACTATAGAAGATTAAGTGAGACAGTCCCGGCTACAGTCCCAACAAGAAAGTGACTAGTGCTATAAGCAAGGCATGTGGTCTGCTTTGGGAAATGTAGAGAAAGAGCTTTTTGTTTCTTCAATTTTTGGACCAAGGGATCTGGGGAAGACCCACAAGCACATTAAATGTATTATTTATAGACTTCGAATATATGGGAACAAGGAGCGGGTGGTACAAGAAAAAAGAAGGTGTTGTAAAGAGGAGGAAGAAAGCGAAGAAAGCTCTAGAAAAGTAGAGAGAGGTATGAATTTCATACGAAAGTCAGTTCCCTGTGAATATACAGATTTCTTGACTAGGAGACAGTTTACTTTGGCTTTGCAGTGATCATGTGACACAATGTAATATTTTCATTATTTACAACGTAATGTTTTATAATCCAGGGTCCACTTGTATGGTAGTCTGTGGTCCCTGTGTTAATGTTACAGTTTACCTGCTAGGTTGATTCCAGTTTTCTGTTAGAGGAATGTTACAGGTTTGAAAACTTTACTCTTTTATTTCAAATTAGTGGCAGTGTTTTAAATATATATGTGTTAAAAGTAGTTATAAATATGGGTTAAAAATCATCCAGTCACTACAATAATATATCATATGGCATTACATCAATTCCCCACACCCCCTTCACAACCTGATGTACTCATCATCTTCCTAGAATTTATTACTTCATGATATTTTCTTTTCATTTGCTCATTGGTTTTTCTACCTCTGGAAGAGTAAGAGCGAAAACTTGATATACTTAGTTAAATGCTCTATTCCCAACACATCATAGGTAAATAGTTAATTACTGGATGAAGGAATCCATATTATATCTATTTACAGTTTTGATGAAATATATGAAGTGAAGGAATAAAATATCTTCACATTTTAGGAAGCCAGTATTCTCGAATATTCACTATAATAGAATTTGTTGCGTCCATGTCAAGAAAGCACTTTGAACTACAGGGAAGCTAATAGTGTATAACAGTGGCCTCTTTATAAATAGGACTTATTCAAATAAGGATCTCCTTGTAACTTGTTTAGTTTTTAGGTAATGTTTATATTTATCTTATGCATGCATTATTCAATATCAGAAGAGAATAATACTTCCTAGAACTATTTAAAGAGCTTATTTTTTAGTAAGGCTCCACTAAGAGTTTATTGCTTACTCTATGTATTAGTCATCCAAGTGTTAGTTTCTTTAATAAAAATGGCTGCTATTTATTTATTTTTCTTTCAATAGATATGGTATTGGACAACATGATAGCCTCTGGCCAACTGGATGAGTCCATAAGAGAAAATGTCAGAGAAGCTCTTTTGAAGAGACATCATCATCAGAATGAGAAAAGATTCACCAGTCGGATTCCCCTTGTGCGATCTTTTGCAGATATAGGCAAGAAACATTCTGACCCTCACTTGCTTGAAAGGAATGGTGAGATAAGTTGTGGCACCCAATTTTTGCTAACCCTTCTGCTCTAACAGCATTTCAGTCTAGTACAGTTAGCATTTGGGAGAAGAAAGATATTTCTTGCAGATAATTCTTATAGGGCATTTTATTATCCCTTTTATTCTTTTTAAAAAACAATATTATCTTTGTATTTAAAAAATATCATTTCTAAAATATCATTTTATAAAACATGACCATTAATCTGTAGAAATCATTTAGATGAAAAAAATTGAGGATTCACTCTAATTAAATGGCACTTTTAAGTATTGGTGGCATATAGAACACTGTCACTTGAGCTAGTCCTGAATAACTTCTTGCTATTTTATTTGCTTTTTTGTTTTTGTCAAGAATTCTTGTATAATAGATGAAGGAGGCATAAATTATGATCTGTAAGTTTAATCTTTTTGAAATTCTATGTCTTGGGTTTGAACTTTTATTATCTATGTTAGAGTTTTTCATAGTGATTTTTCTATTTGTTTCCTGACTTTATTTGCTGCACATAAGCAAGTGTTTTTGCATTGGTTTGATGATTTCACTGCCCTTTATTTATACAGTTTGTGAAAGGTTTTTATGGATGTTTTGTTCTTATGCTAGGGATGACCTCCCTGACATCCTCCAAACCTCTGAGAGTGACACAGACCCACGTATTCGAGCCCTCCTCTCTCACTCATGGCCTAGTAGTGGGTCATGTGGGGATACAGCAGTATTTTTGTAGCCAGGTACCTCTGTCACTGTTTTAAGGCTGGAGCACCTGGATGCTTTGCCTTTCCTCTGGAAGAATACATCACTGGGGTTCTCCTTTGGCTCTCAGAAGAGAGCTCTGAAGACAGTGACTCCGCAAAACCTACCTACAAAGGGTTGGAGTTGCTTAGGAGGGTCATTCTTGCTTCTAGCTGCTGCCGTTATTCAAGGCTCAAAAGGATTAGAAGAGGAACGGAAGATGGGCCACAGTGTCTTTCTGCTCCTCCTTTCTGTCCCTGCAATAATAGTATGGCTTTTAAGTGTTCGATAGACAAACAGCCATTGGTGATGGGGTTGAATATATCTAAAGTTTGACAGTAATGATCTTTCGCAGCTCAGTGTAACATGCCGAAGTCCATCTTCTGAGCATTGACCATTAGAACTCTTTTTAATCTGTTTAAAATTATGCCTTTGTATACGTGAGTAACCCTGAGAATAGAAGAAATCTCTTAGGGACATAAGCTTAATTTAAAAGTAAGCCATCTATGTCACATTTTACCTCTTTTTCATCATTCATGTAGTGTATATTCTCAGCTTTTGGGAAATGAGTTCATTTACTCAAAGAGACCTTATTAAATCTTTTCTCCTCATGTGGATGGTTCCTGATTATTCCCTGATTGTCAGCTGGTTCCTTTTAATCATAACACAATGGCTGTTTTCTCTTAAATGCCATTTTAGTATGGACATTCTGTTATTTTGTTGTATTATAGTTGTAATTTAACAGTTTTTCTGCATGTGGCTTTTGTTTTAACTAAATGGTGGTGGTTCATGGATTGAAGATTCATCATTTTCATACGTCTTGAGATCTCTTGAGTATGTGGCTTTGATAACTTAGATCATATGGGATTGTCTGCCATATCATATTTTCCCTAAAATCAGTGTTACTTCACTAAGGTACATGTCATAGAACACCAGGTGTTTGAAATATAAGTATATACGACCTTTAGAAATATGCTAGACTTATTTCATTATTGCCATTGTCGGTGAGAAATACTTTATTATCTAGCTAGATTAACAATTGTATTACTTAATTTTATCTGCTGTATTAGAAATGGAGGCATATTTTAGGGCATTTGTTAATATCTTTAGAGAGTTCATGAATATCCTTTCAAATTGACACTGTTTTTTTAAAAAAAATTCCTATAATTTGTCTTATGTTTTAGACTTTTACCTGGGAGCACTACCAGTGGGTGATGCTCTAATAATATGAAGATTTGGTATCAATTTTAAGTTAGGAATTATTAGATCATGTGGGCTTTTCTTGTGAGGGATAACTATCTGTAGCAGTTTGGTACAGTTTAGGAAAAATACACTAAATATAAGCTATCAATACTTGTAAGCTTTGTTTAGGGTTTATTTCTTAGATCATTCTTGAGTTGTATTCTCATTTGCTGTTTATCGTTTATCAACTTTGCACTGATATTGTTGTTTTTCTTTTAAAATGTTATACCATGGGGCATTTTAATTACTAACAGAATATTTCCACCCTCCTCGCCTCCCCTGCCTCCCCCTGCCCCCTGTCCCCAGCCCCTATCTGTCATTTGTATTGTTTTTTATTTTTTGTTTTGTTTTTTTGGATACACCTTCAGGGAACTAATGGTAATTTCAGCAACTTTTCAGTGACTTTCTAACATTTAGAAATCTGATGGCCCCGCTAACTCTGATAGCGTTGCAGTTTACATCGTAAGTTGATTTTGTGTGTGTGTGTGTGTGTGTGTGTGTGTGTGTGTGTGTCCGTCCGTCCGTTTGTCTTCTGCAGTGAACTTCATCATGTTTCATTTATTTGTTTTGTCTCAGGGGAAGGCCTGTCAGCCTCCCGGCACTCTTTGCGAACAGGCCTGTCTGCCTCAAACCTTTCCCTGAGAGGAGAGTCGCCTTTCTCCCTTCTTCTCAGTCATCTTCTTCCTTCTTCAAGAGCTGAAAGCCCTGCAGGCTCAAGGTGTACAACCCCAGTACCCACCCCCCAGAACAGCCCTCCTTCCAGCCCTGGCGCCAGCCGCCTGACCTCCAGAAGCTCCCAACAGAGTGAGCCTCGGGCCCCCGAGCTCCTGGTCTCACCCGGCCGCAGTGGTGTCCCCACAGTAGTAATTCATCCGCCCGAGGAAGACTTAGCAGCACTGAAAGGCCAGGAGCAGAAGGCTGAGGACAATGTTGGCATGACTTCAGGCAACTATTCGCATCCTCCGTGTGTGGTGCCCCTGCCTCTGCCTCTCTTGCACGCGGAATGCCTGTCAGCACGTAGCTTTAGCGGCTATGTACATCATGCTTACAACTTCCTTTGACTTGTGCATGGTTTGTTTTCCTTCTAGTGTACTATAGAAAAGAGCAGACTTCTTTAAAACATTTTAACTTCTAAAAAGACTCTGAGGGAGACTACACATAATGTAGCCCTTTCAGACATTTTCAGGCTTTTTTATTTTTTTTTTTACAGGTCAAGGCATTTGAATGGTTCAGATAAACATAGAAATTTTTATAAGCGATCTTTTAATTTGCTGCGATTTTTAAAAAATGGTGGCTTTTCTTCTTGTGCGTTTCATTCATGATGAGAATGAATACACGTCAGACATAAATTACATGGGGTGACGTGTCTCTTACCTATTATTCGGTGCTTTTATCCAAGGATTGCGGTATATTTTAACCTTCCTAACATAAGTAGGATCGAATGTTCTTTTCCTCATTTTGTCTCTGAGAAGATTGAAGTTCTCCAGTGACTACCTGGAATCATCATTATTTTAAGACTAGTATTATATTTGGAATAGACTGTAATTGTCCTCTTTTGAATGCCACATCTATCTTTAATAGATTCACCGTGAAATTTAAATTCACCGTGAAATTTTCAGGACCTATTGTTGTGCCTATAGTGATCCTGTAGTTGTAGCTAGGATCTCTTTTTGTCTGTGAATTAGAAAAATTATTTCCTAGTGGTTAAAAGGTTTATAATTCATCTAAGATTATATACTATGGTAATTTTGGCTCTGTGTTGTCTGTTGAGATACATATGTTTAAACATCTGTATCTTCCCACCCAGTTCATATAAAGAAGTATTGTTTAATGACTACTTCTTACTGACAGCTAAGTGTCACTGTGACATGGGAATTCTAGCTAGTCGTTTTCATCACACAAGTATTACTGCATTTCTCCATAATACTGGTAACCCCCAACACTTCACTGGTAGCTTACATTTACTATATTAACCTACATAATGTGTAGGCAGAGTTGTGTAAGTTAGGTGGATACACCCATTTTCAGAAACTCAGACTCTGAAAAGTTAAATAACTTCCCGAGTCACAGAGCTAGTAAGCGACAAGCCTAAGTGCTCTGACAAAATCATCGTGGTCCTGCCACTAGATGACAAACTTCTTTTCTGTATTGAATTTCTCCAAACACACCAAGTGTGTGTTTGTAGTCAAGTTTGTAGTCAAGGCTCATTGTAGTTGCCACAATATATTATACCTTTTAGAAGTAAAAAATGGAAGTAAGGTGGATAAATCATTGTAACATTAATTATGATGATAGTTACAGCTACCATTGTTTAATAGTTTTTCCACACACACACAGTGGCATTATGATATATTAAATATATCATATTTATAATTTTCCTAACAATTTGATGAGGCTCATATTATCCCTAGTTTATAAATGAAGAAAACCAAGACTTTAAAGGTATTAATATCATACCATAAATGACCAGACCGAGGAATTGAACTTAGATCTACCTATAGGGAAATCTATAGAATACTATTTCATTGTAGATTTTGGTACTTCATGGAAAACATATAATGAGATAACTGAACAAAAAGAAAGAAATGCCAGAGTTATTTACTTGGAAATAATCAGCACTCTTTTTTTTTTTTCTTAAAAAAATTTTGTTAACATTTATCAAATAGTTTTGAGAGACAGAGAGAGACAGAATGTGAGCAGAGGATAGGCAGAGAGAGACGTAGAATCCAGAGCAGGCTCCAGGCTCTGAGCTGTGAGCATGGGGCTCAGACTCCCAGACTGTGAGATCATGACCTGAGCTGAAGTCAGATGCTTAACCAACTGAGCCACCCAGGCACTGCTTTTTAAAAACTAATTTTTTGGAGTCACTTGGTTAAAATTCCGACTTTGGCTCAGGTCATGATCTCATGGTTTGTGGGCTGGAGCCCTGTGTCAGGGTCTGTGCTGACAGCTCAGATGCTGGTGTCTGCGTCAGAGTCTGTCTCCCCCTCTCTCTGCCCCTCCCCTGCTTATGCTGTCTCTCTCTCTCTCTCTCTCTCTCTCTCAAAAGTAAATAAAAAAGAATAAAAATAATAGAATAAAAAGTGTTTAGCATTTATCAGCACTCTTAATTACAAGGAACCAGCAAGATTTACTATTCTTCCTTGAACAAGTTATTTTATTTTTTTAAAGCTTATTTATTGAAAGAGAGAAACAGAAAGAGAAGGGGAGAGAGAACCCCAGGCAGGTTCCATGGGCACTGCCAGTGCAGAGCCCGACGCGGGGCTCGATACCAGAAACTGAGATCATGGCATGAGCTGAAATCAAGAGTCAGACGCTTAACCAACTGAGCCACCCAGGCACCCTGCACAAAAGTGATTTTGAAGTTAATTCCTTGCACCCAGCTTTTCTTATTTTACCAGCTTCTGCAAGGAATTAGAAATTCTCTGTAGTAACTAGGAGGTGGCATACGAGTTCACAGTGGCTCGTTAGGCCATGTTGTTAACTGGATAAAAGCAGCAATTAACTGAAAATCGAGGAACATTATTAAGCTTTTCTCCTCCTTTGCCAAAAGTATGCCATGAGATTTAAAGAATATAAGTTAGAATGGAGGGAAAAGAGGGAATTTCTAAAGGTAAGAAAAAGCTCCTAATTACTGTTTAAGAAGACTTCTACAGAAGGTATGTAATTAAAATAATAGGGACAGCTGTATGTTATTCCCTTGTTGAATTGCCTTTGGTGATTCGAGTACCCAGAAACTCTGCTGGAATTTCCTTGAAGCCTGATGTTACATTACAGGAGGGACGTGGCCTCAGCATCTTTTTGGACAGGGAACTAAGTTATTTTCCTAACAGTTACATTTTGGAGAATAATTACATGTAAATGAGTTAAGCTGCTTTGTAGTATTTGTTACTGTCTTCTGACTCGGCACTGTTGACACTTGGGGCTGGGCATGTCTTTGTCATAAGGGGCTGTCCTGTGCCGTGTAGGAGGCTTCACGGCATCCTTGGCCTCTGTCCACTAGCCGCCAGTAGCACTCCCCAGTTGTGACAACCAAAAATGTCCCTACATCTTGCCAGATGTGTCATGGGGGACACAGTCGTCTCAGTTTGAGAGAGAAACAGCATGAGTTGGGGAGGGACAGAGAGAGAGGGAGACACAGAATCCAAAGCAGGCCTCTGTCAGCACACAGCCCAACACGGGGCTCAAACCCAGAAACCAGGCAATCATGACCTGTCATAACCTGAGCCAAAGTCAGATGCTTAACTGGCCGAGCCATCCAGGCATCTCCTCCTCCTCCACCTCCCCCCCCATTACTTTTATTTTCAAACTTTCAGTGACAGAAGACTCTGATAGCTTTGATTTATCTTTCTCTAGTTAGATATGCTGTTGTGAGAAAAAAAGGTAAGGGCAAAATAATAGATTTACCAAAATATGATTTTTTTGGTGCCCCCCCATGTGATTTTTAAATCTCAGTATTGATTTAATATATACATGCAGAGCTTTTTCTTAAAGCAAAGAAATAGAGACTTTCTGTCTGTGCTAGTAAGAGTTTTAATTTTGGGGAATTTACTCATTTAATTCTGAGCACCCAGAATTTATTGCACAGATGGGGAGACTTCCCTTACTGATTGAGGAGACAGCCTTAACTGAGACCGTGAAGGACTACGTAGAGAAGATAATGGTGAAAAACTCTGACTTGTACTTGGCATGCCCGTTTTAATAGGTTCATGATGACCAGGTTACCCAAAAGACTTCAGATCACCATCTGGCTTTCTCAGCCTTGAGTTCCTCATCCTTTCTTCTTCCCCTTCCTTCCATGTGCGTACATTCCCCCCGCAGTCTACATCTCACTCTTGTCTCCGAAAGCTGGTGGCTGAGGTGATTCTGGGAACTTGCACATGTTTTCTTTGATGATACATCTGTGGATATAATACATGTTGTAGTTAGGAGTGCATGTGCTGCTGTTGACATGCTGCTGCCGCCAAGGCCTTCATGGTAATCTTTGATTTCCTGTATGGACTGAAAAATGCTGGTTAGCCTTTTTTTTTTTTTTTTTTTTTCCCTTTTCTTACTTGGGCAATGTAATTTAATAAAGGAATAGACTCTGTTCTGGAAGTTTAGAGACAAAGGTCAAAGAAGAAGAATCATGATAACCTTGCTCTGCTAAGCTAAGGTGGTGAGAAATGAGCTAAGTTTTAGGAAATGGTTTTTATTTCAGAATTGTTTAACAGCACTTCAGAGCATCTAGCTAAATAGTTTGCATATGCTTTTTTTTTTCTTTTTCTTTTAAGGTTTTATTTTTAAATAATCTCTACACCCAGCGTAGAGCTGGAACCCACAGCCCCAAGGTCCAGTGTCACACACTCCACCTACTGAGCCAGCTAGGTGCTCAGATAGTTTGCATATGCTTTTTATACTTTTGTTTTGGGGTCGTGGTGACATTCTGCTATAGGTACTTAACAGAGAAATGAGTATCACAGACGTCTTCAGTCATTGAGTTTAAGCAGTAGGTCCAGATAGCTTCATTTCAATGATTAGTTACAGTATGGTCCAGAAAAATAAAAGTTCCCTTAGATGCATCAGATGTGTCCAATGTGCTTACAGTTCAGGAACTTTACTAATAGTAACTTTAAAGTTTATAGGATTTAAGCACAGACTGCTTAATTGGATTTCTGTGAATCACTAGATTATTGTGAGTGGCAGAGTTAAAAGTCGAGTCTGTTGTAATTCAGTCTAGCACCTTTTCTTCTGGGGTGCTCTGTTTGGAGCAATATTATTCTATATTCTTGAACTAGAATATCCTGGGTGTTTTTGAAAAAAATGAGATACATTTAGTTGTAGAAATCTGTGTTACATACTTTATAAATATTGAGATTGGAACTTTTTGCAAAATTCTTAGTGGTGATGATTTGGTATAGGCTACAGGTTACGTTTAGGTTATTTTATTGTTGTGAAATATTGCTGCCGAATGTTACTTGAAATGAGCATTCTAAATGATTACACATTTATCTACCATTTCTAATCCAGACCAGCTAATTTTACAGGTTTGTCTGAGTCTTTTAGTTTTAGTGAGTTAAAATCACATGGCTACAGAGTGGCAGAGAGTGCTTATTTCAACACAGCTATGTTTGATGACAAAACCCTTTGTCTTTGTATTTATATTGTAAAAACATTGCTACCGTATTTCCAAGTTATATTTCTTAGGAATAATGGCAGTAGGCAGCACATAAATACTACCCAAGAGAAATGAAATTCTCAAGGAAATTATGATGATGGATTTTCTGAGGTGCATCTAGGGTTTATCAGGAAGTAAATAAGGTTACTGATGTAAGTATGCCGTGTGTAGTTTGGCATCTTTAAGCTCCGCAATTCGCATGTACGTTAGATTTAGTAAAAGTTCATTCCCTAAGTATTCGTAGTGGTGTAATCTGACTCTGTCCTTCCATCTTCTGTGTTGCTCACCCACTCACCTTTTTTTTTTTGGGGGGGGGGGGCAAAAGGCCACCGTTTTCGTAAATTCCAATTATTTTAAATGTTAAACAGCTTCATTATTGCTTAAAATGTACTCTAGTCTTGCTGGTATGGTACTAACACTGGCACTTTTTTTTTTTTTTTTTTTTTTTTTTTTTTTTTTTTTTTTTTTTTTTTTTTTTTTTTTTTTTTTTTTTTTTTTTTTTTTTTTTTTTTTACCTTGCACATTTGCTTCTAATAAATTATCACTTTCAGGATATGAGCAGAGTCAGTTTACAAACTGAATTTTCTCCTTACTGATTTGGATTTTGTTGTTGTTGTTGTTCTTAAATTCAGGTATTTTGGCCTCTCCACAGTCTGCCCCTGGAAACTTGGACAATAGTAAAAGTGGAGAAATTAAAGGTAATGGAAGTGGAGGAAGCAGAGAAAATAGTACTGTTGACTTCAGCAAGGTAATTCTGTCACTCACTGTAAATCTTCATAATCATTCTTACTGAGAAAATCACTAGCAATGTGGCTTTATTAGCACTGATTATAATAATTTGTTAGTAGATTGGTGCTTAGAAGACTGCACGTGATGCTTGTGATATGTAATTTAGGTTCAGAAATTATGAGAAAGGTAACAGTCCAAAGAGCTTTTGAATGACTTTATTTATAATTTTGCCCAAAGAATATGTGAGTAATATGGTATTTCCGTCTATACCTACCCATAGACAGATGAAACTTCAGGACCTTTTGAATTACTGGAGCCACTACCAGATCAGTTCTGGGAATGATGTTATAGCACTGGCGATTCAGCCTTTTCTTGGCTGTAATAAGATCCCAGAATTACTGTGGTAGAGTGTCTGTACTTTCTGGAATGTCCCTGGGAAACATAATTGGTGTTTGCCCCTGGGTAGGTAAAGGCATGGATTAAAAACAACCTGAACTATGATTTGTTTATTTTGGTAGATGAGTATTCAGATGAAATAACAAAAAGAAAACTTCAAAATTTCAAAAGAACAGGGCAAACAACTCCCACATTCAAATTATAGTGGAATATAAAGCATACTTTATATGAGTCCTGCTTGTGAATTATTGATTCTGTGTGGCTGTTAGAATTTTTTGATAGTGGTAGTTTGCTATAAGATACTCTCTGTTTTAACATGGTTGTGTCCAATTTAAGACTTTTAATTAAGTACGATTATTTCAAGTCAGATTCATTTTTCTTAGGCTTTTTACGTTCTTGGGCTTTTTGTGTGCAAAATCTGCAGAAAAGGAGTGTGAATGATGGTTTGCACTGTAGCTTTGCTTGAGCTACTTGTTCTAAAATTACAGAAAGCCTTGCATAAGGCGCATTAACTTATGCAGGAAGGCTGTTGCATTTTTAATTCGTCTGGTCTGACTTGATTATATTTTGGCTGGTGCTTCTGTTATTTCAGACGAGTGAGACGTATTCAGTAACCATACTGCAGGTCACCCCCGTTAAATGGATGAAATGTAACTTACAGTATAGATACCCTCTAGACATGGCAGATGCCCTTTCTTTTTGTTCCTCTGTCACAGTTTTGCTTTTTTTCACTTGGCCTACCCTCGCGCACACCTCCTTGTCTCCCGCTGGGCAGGAGTCTGCCCCCTGGCACTGTAGTTGTGGCACACTGGGTGTGGGACTCAAGAGGCCCGCTGTAAGTGCTGCTCTTATTTTTAATAGATAGCCCTGTAAGTGGTTGTTTAGTGCCGTGTGTGAAACCGCATACGAATGAAGTTCCCGTACTTTGATACTCTGTTTATAACCTCTTCTTTGTAATTATACACAGACTACTAAATTTGATTTTCTAGCACGGTCCTGTGTGTCTAGCGGTAATGGCTATTCATTTTCGTTTTAAATAAAAACAGAAGCAAGTTTTTCCACTTCATGAAAATACCGTGGAGTACACAGACCTCTCTAAAGTAAAAAGGACTTACAAAAAAATACATATCAAGTACAAAGGGGCTAATTCTTTTCTCAGATTAAATAAAAATGATCGTGAAATGAGTATTTTTTTTAGCACTGTGTATAATTTCATGAACAATTGTTAGTTTGTGAACTATATTTTTGTCCTTAGTAGTTTCTAATGAATCATGCTATCCTCACTGAAAATTGCCTCTAGTTTGTATGTTTGATAACTTCGATCTCTGAAGTAGTAAAGATCATGACAGTTAAAATGGTTGGGAGCATTGTTTGATAGATGTGTTCTGCCTGCTTTTTTGTATCTGTCTACTCCGTTCTTTTTATATGTGAGGATTTTGGTGTTTATATATCCATTAGATCACCAGTTTTGATTAGCAAATAGTAGTCTTAAAAGCGTTTTTCCTTTCTCATTTCCCTCTAAATAGACTCATACATGCCATGCAGATTTTCAAAAATGCCATGCAGATTTGATTTTTAAGTATTATTTATTTGTCAATAGGTTGATATGAATTTCATGAGAAAAATTCCTTCGGGAGCCGAGGCATCCAATGTTCTGGTGGGAGAAGTAGACTTTCTGGAAAGACCTATAATTGCGTTTGTGAGACTGGCCCCTGCTGTTCTCCTCTCGGGGTTGACTGAGGTCCCTGTTCCTACCAGGTAACCCTCTCGGCATGTCCAAAACCTAAAAATTTTTATCTATTGATAAAAGGGATAAAAGCTTATTTTAATTTATGTTTTCGTTGCACTGAATGCTTTGACTAGTAGGGCATCAAAGAGTTCTCTTTCTTTCTGGAATTAAACACACACACACAGACACACACACAGAAGGAAAACGTCCTTTAAAAAATACTTAGCCAGGGACGCCTGGGTGACTCAGTTGGCAGCTCAGGTCATGATCTCAGGTCATAAGATCGAGGCCCGTGTCGGGCTCTCTGCTCACAGTATGGGGCCTGCTTGGGATCCTTTCTCTGTGCCCCTGCCTGCTCTCTTTCTCAAAATAAGTAAACATTTAAAAAATAATACTTAGCATTTATACCTTTATAAGAAGTTTGGTGTTTTAGGAGTTGGTTTAAAAGACCCAGCCCATCATTTCAGACAGATGTATTATGTGCTATGGAGCAGAACAGAGTTGAATCCTTGCTGTGCACATTTATTGGGAAGGTCAAGTCTGACTTAAGTTTTCTAAGCTTCATTTATAGAATGAGGATATGATTACTTCATAGGGTTGATTAAATGTAATAATGTGCCTCTGAATTAAGCAAAATGCATTTGTTCTGACCTGACCAAAATTTTCCGTTCAATATACTAAGTAAAAAAGAAATTGGGTAACATCCCTAAGAATTAGCAAGTTGTGTTATAGAGGATAACCAGTTTGTTAGTTAACTGATTTATTTGTAAACATAATTGTAAATTAGAATAACTTAAAAAATATTTGAAAAATCATTTTTATAAGATGAAAGATGAAGAATTAATCGCAATTTGATTGGAATACTTGTGCCTATTTTTAGTACGCTTTCCTGAGTTGCATTAGTGGTACAGTGTTACGGTAAGTGAGAGAAAATAATTCCATAGATTCACACTTAAATTCTCATAAAGCAAGAAGATGAAATGCTTCCAACTTGGGCAAGTGTGAATATTAATATTTTACTGTGGTAGTCATGAGGATACAGTAGGCAGCTAAATGCTTTTTATTTAGTCACTTGTAAATAAATTAAAAAATAAAATAACGTGAGGTTTGATGTTACATTTGTGGATTGTAACATAATTCTTCCTTCCATAGTCCCTTATTTACCTTATTAGAGTCTTTATCCAGACCATAGTTTGAGGGGTTGTATACGCTGAACTTTTTAAGTAGGCAAACCTTATTTGTAAGTATCTACTGAGATTGGTACTTCCCTTATTTACTAATTTACCTTTTTTTTTCCAATACAGATTAGATCAAATTATTTACTCAAATTCAAAAGGGTAAAGAAAATGGGATGTTTTCATGTAAACCACTCAATTCTGTAATCACTCTTACTGTCAGGAGGATGGGGAACGGAAGTGGGGGTAGAGAGTTAATTACACGTGCTTTGCTTAGTTTTGAGGTCTGCTTTACTGTGAGTAGAGTTGTCATTTTTTTCTTTTTTCTTGGTGATTGGTGTCGGGGGGGGATGGAAAACAGGTCTGAATGTTGTTTCTGTGTTTACGTGGGAATGATTTCTTTATGATTGCCTTGATTTGGTTTTGTATGTTATTTATATTGAAGTCTGTGTATTTTACTGTGTCTTTAGGTTTCTGTTCCTGCTATTGGGTCCAGCAGGCAAGGCACCACAGTACCATGAAATTGGAAGATCAATAGCCACTCTCATGACAGATGAGGTAATTAAAATACCCTATGAGGTGGGCACTGAGTATGCAGGCTGTAACATCCGTTTGAAGTGGAATTTCAAATCCTTTTGAAATGGACACTGAATGTAAAGCATATAATATATATTCAATTACAGTTCTCTTTTTGTTCATAGTGAAGTTTGAAGAATTGTCCTCGCTGTCTATCTTCCCTTATCTTATTCACTCTTCAACCATTTACCTTTGGTAAGATCTTCAAGACCTTTCTGTCAAGATCAGTGGATACTTTTTTGTCCCCCACCCCCTCCACCACCTTCTTGAAACTGTCTCCATCCTGGATATCAGGATGTCATTATTTGGGTTTTGATCAGGACTTTGTCTTTTCTCCCCCTCCTGCTTTTTCTCCGTAATTTCTCTCTGCCATTTTTGAACCCCTTCTTTGAGCTTGGCCTGTATTGACCAGGACTTTTGTTTTTCTTCGGGGCAGAGCTTTGTGATCAACTGTTAGACGTGTCTGCCTTGTGTCCCTAAGGCATCTGAAATTCCACGTATCTGAACCTGACTTCCCTTCTCTGTCCTGTCCCAACCACTTAGTCACCAGATTCTGATTTACCTCTCAGTGTGTTTTGCATTTAATCTGCCATCTCCTTTCCATCTCCACTGCCATTTCTCTGGCTTGGACGCTCTCACCTTTTTTTTCTTTGGCAATTAAAGCGAACTTTATGGGTCTTTGACAGTATTTTCCTCTATGCTGCTAATAACATGCACTCTTGAATATATCATTGATATCCAGATGTATCTTGCTATATATGTATGTTCACATTTAAACTCTTGACCATTTGGCTTCATAGGGTTTCGCTGATCAAACCTCTGCATAGTTCCTGAAGCTTTTATCCTACTACTACTGTTCACCCTCCTCCCCCATTTTTTTCTGGCCACATTAGCTTCCTATTAGTTCTGATGTTTTATGCTCATTTCTGCCTCTGAACAAATACAATTGCTCTTCCCTTTGCCCAGGTGCCCTTCACCGCCCCATCCCACCCTTTGCATGGTTTCTGTGTCATTTCATTCCGATTTCTCCTGTGGTGTTACCTCCCTGTAGACCTTCCTCGGTCGCCGTGTTCTTCTCAATCAACTTCCCTTCCTTAACCCTGCTTTATTTTTATCAGAGTATTTATTAGTACTTCCAGTTACATACTTAATGTAATTATTTGTTTCACTGTCTTTCCTTCTAGAAAAAAAGGGCCCTGAATGTAGGGACTTTGCCTTATCTATGTCCAGTGCACTATCCACAGTGCTTAAAATTGTGCCTAGCAAATGATAGGCAGACAGTAAATATAAGTCATCCAATGCCTGCATTTCTTAAGTAAAATATTCTTCAGATCCATGCTTATCTCTTAGGATAAATGACATTAAAATGTCCTAGAAATTGAAATGACCTGCCACAGTGTTATTTTATTCTGTGATGACTAGTAAGCATTTCCCATCCAGAATACTCTTTTTAAACAAGTTATTCTGTGTTAATGCATCACTGTTTTCTTTTGCTGGTTGATTGTTACTAATTCATCTGGTAATGCAGTTAGTGGGTTACTTGTTATGGTTGTTACCTGGGGTGGAATGGAGACCTGCCTGGGATAAAGAGTTTAGGTAATTACCTTTACTGTAGACTTATTTGTAATATCTAGAATAGGTTGACTAGATGTAGCATTTTCTTTCAACTTGAAAATCCTTTCACTGAATTTTTTTTCCCCTGTAGATTTTTCATGATGTAGCCTATAAAGCAAAAGACAGAAACGACCTCTTATCTGGAATTGATGAATTTTTAGATCAAGTAACTGTCCTACCTCCAGGAGAGTGGGACCCTTCTATACGCATAGAGCCACCAAAAAGTGTTCCTTCTCAGGTAAGAGTCCACACAGCCCTGTGAGTTGCTCTTTCCTAGTTAAGCTGTGTTTGGAAAGGTTATGTACATTTTTATGATCCACAAATCAAAACTGTATAAACAGGTACACTCAGAGAAGTTGTGTCCCTGCCATATTCCGTGTGCCTTCTTACCCCAGTACCCACCTCCCGGGGAGCACCTTTGCTCTTCTAGCTTGTACTCAGTGCAAGGAGATGTAAACATAGTCTTGTTACCTCCTCTTTCTTTACCAGCAGCTAATATACTACATGTCCTGTTTTGCACCTTGCTTTTTAAAAATATAATCGCAAGTCCTGGAGCTGTGGGTCATAAGACATCACAGAAATATTTCTTCTCTTTCTCACAGCTTTGTTATATTTTATTTATGGATATACTAGAATTTATGCTGTTCCTGGGCTCAGGTTGTCTTCAGTCTTGCTTTTCTAAGCCAGATCACAATATTTATGTGCCAGTTTCGTCTTGTGCAGGTGTATCTTTAGTGTTGATTCCCAGATACAGGATTGTTGGCTCACACAGGACATTTTTGTGTCATTTTAGTAGGTATTACCAGAATCGCTTGGTACTGGGTTGTGCTGTTTTGGATGCCCGCAGGGATGAATGCCTCTTTCCCCACAGCCTCATTAACTGTGTGTTGTCAAACTTTTGGATACTTGTCAGTCTGATAGGTATCTTTACCCTACTATGTCAGGTATTTTAAAGTGGTTTTTATTTACATGTATGTAATTAGTGAAATTGAATATTCCTGGATATTCCTGGCTTGTTCATTGCAACCCTCCCTGCCCCCAACACACACAAAAACCACACCTTTTCTTAACATTTAAGTCATTTGTTGCTCCTTTGGAGTTTATGGTGGTGTATTATGTGGAATATGCATCTAGCTTTATCTTTTATCTAAGTTGCTACCAGTTTTCCCAGTTCATTAAAAAGTTAAGCATTATTCTCCTTGATTGATGTTGCTGCCTTATTGTTTTCTAAATTTCTCTTTGTATTCAAGTCCTTCTGGAATTTCTCCATTGGTCTCTCTGTTGATGGACCAATTCTGAGGCTTTTTGGCATATTTTAATGTCCAGTAGGTCTAGATTCATTCTTGACCCCTCTGTTAATCATGCTTTCCTGGATTTTCTTGGTTTGTCTTTGCATGTTTATTTTTTTTTGTAAACTTTAAACTGAGCTTTCTTAAAAAAATACTTTCTAATGTCTATTATTATTGAGACAGAGAGAAACAGCATGAGTGGGTGAGGGGCAGAGACAGGGAGACACAGAATCCGAAACAGGCTTCAGGCTCTGAGTTGTCAGCACAGAGCCCTACGCGGGGCTCGAACCCACGAACTGTGAGATCAGGACCTGAGCCAAAGTCAGACGCTCAACCGACTTAACCACCCAGGTGCCCCTGAACTGAGCTCTTAATTTCCAGAAGTGAAACCTGATTTTTAAAAAACTGTGATTGCAGTTAAATTTGTAAATGAACTGAGGGAGAGTTGACATCTTTTAACATCAAGTCATTCAAGAATATGGTATGTTCCCCCCACTTGTTTTCCTATTTCAAGTTAGTTTTTGCGTCCTTAAGGAATGCCATAAAATTCTCTTTATCTATGCTTTACATACTTGGTGGGTGTATTCTGAGCATTTTATCTAAGTGAGGTTTTTGTTCTGTTGTATCATTATATTTGTGTCATTATATATGAAAGCTCTTTGTTACTTTCTTTTTTATTCTCCTCCCTTAGTTCTTTCACTGTATGTAATAGTTTCTCAGCCATATCATCTGCAGTAAGATACTTTGATCCCTCCTTTTCTCATTCTTACAGCTCTAGTGTATTTTCTGTTGTCTAATCGTATTGACTGAAATCTCTAGTAATATTAAGTGGCAGTTGACTTTAATGGGCATTTGTTAATTTGTTCCCAACTGTAGTCCGTGTCCCTGATGTTTCTCTCATTAAGTCACTGACATTGAGGCCAACGTACACATTTTATCATGCTTGGAAAACATCCTAATGTCTGTTTCATTGAACATTTTAATGTAAGTGGATGTTAAATTTTTTCAAATGGCTTTGTAGCATCTCTGGAGATGGTTGTATGAATTTTACTAATCAATTACTGTGGTGGAACATGTTCATAGATTCTTTAATTTGAAAACACTCTTGCATTGATAGAATGAACCCAAATTTGACTTCAGAGTGCTGGTCATCTACATCTACTATTTTAAGTTGTTTGCATCATTGGAAGTAGATTGGTCTGTAGTTTTTTGTGCAGTCTTCTGGCCTTGATATCTTTCTTCTGTTGATTTCATATCTGAAAACCTTCCCTTCCCAGTTTTTTAAACTGTTTAAATGGCTTGGAGTAATTTGGTTCTAAAAGTTGGGAAGAATTCCTTTGGAAAATTTTCTGAGCCCAAGTATTTTGTTGTCTAGTGGGCTTTTACAACTTGCTTATTTCTTCTGCCGTGATTGGTTTTTGTAAGCTTTCTCTGTTTCCTGGGGGTCAGTATTATATTTTCTTAGAAAATTGCCTATTTCCTGTTTTTTGGGTGTCAGTTTTGGGAAATTCTGTGTTCCTGGTGTATTACCCATTTCTTTAATGTTTTTAATTTATTTGCATAGGGTGGTGTGTGTGTGTATGTGTACAAAATTTCCTTCAGCTGCCTCCTTGTCATATCTTTTTCTGTGTATTAGCTAATGGTTTATCCTATTTTTCAAATACAGCAGCTTTTACAGCTAATTTTAGTTCTCCTTTTTTAAACAAGTGTTTTGTTTTCTGACCCCCATTTCTGCTTTTAGCAGTTTCATTTCATTACTTTCACTTCAGGAAAGAATCTTGTTTTCACATTTCCTGAGCCAGATGTTTAATTCATGTATTTTTATCCTTTTGTTTTTCTTAATATAAATACTCAATTTTCTTGAATGATGCTTCTGCTGTGTCCCATAGATTGTGTTACGTATGGGTTTCCATTACTTCTGTTTTTTAGGAATTCTGTAATTTTGTATTCTCTTTCCCCATTGAGCTAAGATGTCATTTAGTTTTAATTTTGACACTTTCAAATGGTAATCCTGTGATGATAGAGAAGCCTTGCTATTCTATGAATACTGAACATATAAACCAAGTGGTATACACTTGTAGTTCACCCATAGTTTTTGACCAAGGGGATCTCCTGGGATGGACACCCTTCTGCCACCTCTGTTTCCTTTTCTCTTGGTCGCTGTGTGTCACACACCTGTGTTTTTAGGCCCATTGACCACCGACCTCTGGAGGTAACAAATTAGAAGTTAGCTCCTTGATTTTCAGGTGAACGGAGGGGGATCCTTTATCATGAGAATCTTGAATTAGTAATAAAATGTAATGGGAAATTGAGTTTTATGAAAAAGTATTTTTAAAAGACAACTCTTGTACTACTTATATCTTCAGAGAAGTATTGTGGTAAAAGAAAAATCGCATTTACTTTTTTATTAACAAAGTATATTTTTCATTAGCATGAGCAATATTTTAAATATTCTGTTTGGAGAGATGCTTTATTGGATATTTATGTTCTTCTTGCTGAGTAATAATTTGAGATGGTGTGTATGACTGTGTTTTATATAGTATGTGTGATTTAGAATACAAAATATAAAAAGCCCATCAGTCATAAAGTTAAAATATTAATAGACATATTAGGTAACTGTGGACGTTTATATTAGGAATCATTATTTCCAGGGGCACTGATTAGATAATACAATCAACATAAGATCTCCTGTTCCCTCTAATTCAAGGATGCCCTCTTAACTTTTTGGAAACAGAATTCTGAAAATGTGTTTTTTGTGAAATTCAGGAAAAGAGAAAGATTCCTGTGTTTCCCAATGGGTCTGCCCCCAGCTCTGGTGAGACACCAAACGAGGCCGCCCACCATGCTGGGCCTGAGCTACAAAGGACTGGACGGTGGGTACAAATAACTGATTGATAGTGGGTGTCTTTGAGGACTAGGGGTTGATCTGATGAAGGCATAAACATTCTTTTCCTTTGCAAGTATATGGAAGTTAATCTTGTACAGTGTTTTTTTTTCCATATTTAAAAAGTGCATTATTGTAGAAGTATATTTTGTTAAGGAAAATTATTTAAAAATAATGTTACTAGTATATACTTGGGTTCTTTATATCAGGATTTAATTTAAAATGAAAATATTATGGCCCATATGATAAGAATATTGAGCAGTTACTACATAGACTATGAGGTAATTTTCATTACCCATATGGAAGGTTCTTGAAGAAGGTGTGGAGTGCTATTAAAATTCTCCATATAAAGTTACAGAATTCCAAGAACAGGGAGGAATTATAACCAGTATTTTGTGTGTGTGTGCAGAGGTTTAAAACTCTTAAATGAGCATCGTATCATGACATAGTATAAAATTAGGGGAAGCATATTTAAACCATGGTAATGATCCCTAGAAACCTATTTAGAAAAACTGTTGAAGATGTTAATTTGGGGAATAAAAATAGAAATATTGCTAGGTGCAAACATTGTCTTAAATATTTTGTAGAATAGAGAAATGTTATGATATTTCCATACTGTAGAGAACAGCGTGTGGATCTTGATACTGTTGTCCACTGGCGGTCGCTGTGAAACTAAGATTTTGAATCTTAAATATTTGTTTAAAAAATCAGGGTATTTGATACAGACAGCCACATTATTAGGGGTACTGATGACATGCCTAAAGAATTACTATATGGGAGAAAAATAACAGCTGGCATACCGAATGTAAAACGTAGAAAACAATTTATTCATTGTCTTGTATACTAGTCTCTGCAATTAGTCTTTCACGGAGAAAAAGACTGTGAAAGGTGGTGGTCTAATATTAGCAGTTACTGTTCCTTCCTTGGACTTCAGACTGAGATAGTGTTAGTCTCACAGCCACATGAGAACCTCATATAAACTGTTAATCATTTGTTGATTTGATGGTATAGTTTAATTTTCTAGATGATCATTGACACCTTTTTTTTAACTGAAAGTTGATTTCCCTTGCTGGCAGATTATTTATAGAGTAACTTCTGTCACTTGTCAAGTGTGTTTAGCATTTATTGCAGTAGTAACTTTTAAAAAGGTAGAATGGTAAACCTTGAAACATCGGAAGCATTTTAAAGCATAAGATGAATTTTTTGGTGTATTATCTGCACAACGTATGTTTCATGAGTCACAAAACCTTTTGGAATTACTGATTTGTTACTATTTGCTGAGTACCTACTAGGTCCTGGGCAGTGTTCTAGACACTGGTGATAATGGCAGTGAACAAAAAAATGGCCCTGCCCCTCACTAAGCTTATATTTAGTAGAGTGCTTTCAAGTTAGATGTATCCAAAAGTTTGATTAAAAACAAAACAAACAAACAAAAAACATATTGAAGTGCTAAGGCTTTGATGTGCAAATATACATTTTAAATTTACTAATTTAAACATTAGTTTTATTCACATGCACATGAACTTGAGTACATATCGAGTAAATTAAATTAATTTTTAGGCTTTTTTCCTGGACCAGAAATATTTATGTGGTTGAAGTAACAGTTTTAAAAGTCAATAAAGTTAATTCAGTTCACTACTGAGTGAGTCTAAGCACAGCACATACATATTAAAGCGTATTTGAAAACTTACAGTTTATATTATAATTGTCTTCCTGGTATTTCTAACACTTGCCTTTAAGATTTATAACGTAGATAATAATTGATAGACTTGCTTATGCGTATTTTCATGAATGGACTGTTAGGTTTTATTTATTTTTACTGTATATTGTACATTTGTGTCTGAAATTACATTTACTCATATAAAATCATTTGCCTGCAGTCTTCTCAGTATGTATAGTCCATAAAATACAGATGTTTATGTGCCTTCTAACGTAGTGAGATCTGCCTTTCCTCTGTCAGTGGATGAGATTAAATGAGTGTATCTTCTATAATTTATATCGTGATTTAAATAGGATATTAATTTTTGTTGACAAAACACTAGGCACCAGCAGTTTGATGTAGCCCATAGATTTAGTGTGAACTAGCTAGAATCCTCTAGTGTACAGTTTGACGAGTTTCATCTCACCTATTTAGGCTTTTTGGTGGTTTGATACTTGACATCAAAAGGAAAGCACCTTTTTTCTTGAGTGACTTCAAGGATGCATTAAGTCTGCAGTGCCTGGCCTCGATTCTTTTCCTATACTGTGCCTGTATGTCTCCTGTAATCACTTTTGGAGGGCTGCTTGGAGAAGCTACAGAAGGCAGAATAGTGAGTACAAAGATTGGTAGTGGCCAGGCTCTTAGCTCTTCAGAGGCAAGTGTCTGTGTGCATTTGTCTCACTATTCATACTTTTATTTGAAGAGTCCACCCACAGCATGATTAACCTGCCCCAAAGCAGACTTCCCCTAAAGGTAATTGCTATGGAAAACACGGGGGAGCCATTTGAGCAGGAGAAGATGCACAGTTGAGGTAAAAAAAAAAAAAAAAAAGAAAAGAAAACAAGAAAGAAAACAAGAAAAAGAAAATGGAAAAAAAAGTTGATCCTGGCTTGCTGGATGAATGGTTTTATAAATCGAGTAAAAGGCTTGTATTGTCTTTGTGGTGGGGTGTGGGGAAGGGCTGGGGGTGGGAGACAAATTGAATTTGAACTGATTCTGGGCGGGTCATGGGTGGGGGGATTTAATCCATGGGGCTGCCTTATGTCCTGTAAAGCATCATAGGATTAGAGCCCTGGTGAGGAGGCCCACACTACACAAGTAGACTTTGGAAGTTGTAGGAAAACGGTGGATTTTTAGTGTTGTTTATTTTGCTGTTACTAAACTTGTGTAAAAGCCGCCAACGTGTAACTGAAAACTGCATCCATATTTCAATATGACTAAAATGAAACTTTAATGACGTTTTGTTCTTGGTAATGCTGATTTCAGGGCTGTGGGAGGCATGGTAACTGAGTACAGTGCTTTGTCAAATGTTGAAAGACTTTTTTTGTTTGTTTATATGAATTTTAATGACATTTAAATGAGATGATTTATAATTCTTGAGTGTATTTAATTCTACTTACTCTTAGGTGGAAATTCATTTTTTACAGATTAAAGGTGAAAAAAATAGCCAGAAGCTAACTAACTGATCCTTATTCAGTTAAACTCTTTCATGATCTGAACGTGAGACAAACTTGACAACTAAAATTTCCTTTGAACTCCGTTCATTTTTGGTTCTTTAGACTCTTTTACCTTATTCTGCAATCACTGTACCAAGGAAATCTATTTTTAGTAAGTCGCTTTTATGTGCTGTCGCAAAATGTACACGTAACTCTGCTGGTCCCCCTGAAACTGTCTTATCTGTTACCATCATGGACGTAGTGCTGCTTTTGCTTTCGGACTGTGCTGCACTGCCTGCCCCTCTCCTCCTGCTGTTTAGTATACCGTGTGCACGGGATAGTGCTGTGGGCATCGGGGGGCATAGACAAGCGTAAGAGGGGCTTGTGTCTTCTGTCCTCAAGGATTCTAACCTAAGAGCAAATGACACATGTATGTACATAGGGAATATGTGATGCTGTGCTGTGCCGCATGTGAGTGTGACCGGGGAGGAGCTGCAGCAGGCGGAAGTACCGCAGCGAGGAATCCAGAGTCTTCTAGAGGAGAGTGATTCGGAGACGATGCTTGTGTTTTCAGGAGCTTTGTACGGTGGTGAGGAGAGCAATAAAGGTTGGGTCTAGGTGAGGGTGACAGGGGAGATAATTCACAGTGAGGGGAGAGGGGAAAAAGTAGGGAGTTAACATTTGTGGACGGGAGGAGGAATGAGGCTGCGGAGGAAAATGGCCCGGCAGATTAGACACAGGCACCACCAGAACTTGGGAAGGGGCATCAGGGTGGTGTAAGTTTGCAAAACCCAAAATAGAGGCTCTGAGGCGGAAGGTTAGCACGGAGTGGCCACTGCTGTGCAGGGAGAGGTGAGCAGGGAGGGCGCTGGTAGAGCTGCTGATGGGCAGGACGGAGACTTCTGAACGTGGCCGAGGGAGGGCAGTGTGGTCGGGCTGTGGTTTCTTTAGGGACAGAGACTGTCCACTTGGGAGTGAACATAAAAACCACTTATAGATTAGGATAAGACTAGATCTGGGTGAAGGAGCTAGTGAAACATTGCCCATAAAGGGCTTGGGAGACGAGCGGTGGACGGAGTGGTGAAAAGGAAGGGCTTCCTGGGACGGGTGCGGACTCTTCCAACACCACGTTGGGAAGAGAAACTGTTATTCTGTGCCCGTTTGCCCCCAGTTAGCATTTATTTGCCATCTCCTTGCTTCTCAGTTTTTTTGCTCTTTCTTGATACCATTTAGACATTTTTTTTCTTTGCCTTGAGCTCCGCTTAAATCCATTCCTAAACATGCATATTCTAATTGAACTAAGTATTTTATAATGGCTTAGCAGTTCATATGGACCCTTTGTTTTGGCAGATGTATGTGGGTTTGGTCCTGTTTTTATACTAATAGGTGAATAATACTTTTACAGCATACTGTTATTTTGTGATTTTGATTTTGGAAGATGCTGTTATTACTGATGATGAGAATCACTGCCATGGATTAAATGCATTCTGTATGTCAGCTGGTAGGTTTGCTAGGTGTTTTTGCAAACACGGTCTCATTAAGTTCTCCCTGTTCTCATCACTCCTGTTGAAAAATGAGAAGGGCTGGGTTTGAAAAGTGTGAGATAACACCAGTGGCTCAGCATCTAGTAGTAACAGGTCTTCCACTCCAGTCTGGTTCTGAAACGCCACTCTTCTGCCGCTGTGCTGCCTCCCACGTCCAGAAGGGGTGCTTCTCACACGCTTCTTTTCCCTGCCTTTCCCAGTGATGATGGGCTCTCCCTTTCTTGATAGCGCATTTCAGTTGATGTTGATGTTTGTGAATGGTAAACTGTTCTCTTCTTTCTGATGCCCTCCTCTGTCTAGTGGCCTAGCCTGTACCCCTTATCATCTAATTAACTAATGAGTTAGAATGTCTTATCAGTAGAGGTTCAGAAGTGATGTACTAGCTGTGATTTACACTTTCTTGAGTCTTGGATTTTCTTATTTATTTATTTATTTTTAACCAAGCTTTAGTAGTCAGATAGTTCTTCATTTAATGGTTGCTCTGAGTTTTTAAAAGAGATTTTCCATCTATTTTATGTTAAAAGCATTTTATTTTTGAAATGTTTTGGTTAAGCCTATCATGTAAGAGTAATTTCTTTGAAACATGGAAAATTGCTCTTTAGAAATCATTTTGAGAATGATAGGATTACTTGTTAATTTCTGACTTACCTGTTTGAAGCACACCATATTGAGTATTTAATGTTTCCTATTTTTTAAATGAATTATTTCAGACATACAAAAATGTCCAAAATAACAAATGTATTTGTATGCCCCACAGACTTAAGAAATAAAATACCTATAGATAGAGTTAAAATCTAGGTTTCTCTTCCTTTTACTCCTTCCTCTCTGTCTCCCACAATACGAGTTCTGAAGAAAGGTGGATTGCAAAAGCTCACTTTTAATATGAAAACAAAGCAGTTTTCCCTATGTATTTAAAATGTAATTGTTCATATTTAAAATAGAAATTTAAGAATCAAAAGTTGTGTCTGCTTTGTATGTTTAATTACTTGATTCGTGTTTTTATTTTCCAGATGTGTTATGTATTTCAGTAGATTAGAGATACATTTATGATGTATTACTTCTATTCATTTCTTTTTTCCTTAAACAGAGTGCAATAGAGTCTCTTTTTGGAGCATCATTAACTGGGATTGCCTATTCGTTGTTTGCTGGGCAACCTCTAACAATATTGGGGAGCACAGGTCCAGTTTTAGTGTTTGAAAAAATTTTATTTAAGTTCTGCAGGTACGTAATAGTTATTTACTTATCACATGTGTTCACATATAATTGTGTTGTTGATTAACTTTAGTTAAAAGTGCATTATATATTTAGCAGCTGAAAAAGACAGTATATGTATTTTCAGTATTTTGGGGTTCTGTGTGATTGACCCTACTCTGGCCCCTATTATCATTCCTACCCATGTCACCTTGCGGATTATAAAATCAGTGGATTTAAGTCCTGGTCAACAAATCCCTTGTGTAATAGAAATACTTTGTGCTAGCAAGTATCAATCCAGCAAGAAGGAGTTAATCTAAATGTTGATTAGTTGGTATGTTGGCCTTTTAAAAGAATTTTAAAATGAGGTGAATCTTGGAGGCCCTAGCCAGTCAGCCCTATTTAGCAGAAGGAACTTGAGCTGGCGGAGCAAGATGTCAGTTTCCACCGGCAGCGTTCATGGTGTGGGAAGCAGTTCAGGGCACCATAGCCGGTAGAGGTAGAATTTGACGTGGTCAGTACTGTTCGTTCTGTGAGGTAAATGCAGTTGAATATTTTAGCCTGAAACAACTTGATCCTGTTAAGATACTGGGTTCATCTAAATCATCTTGTTTTGATTCTCCCTTCACTGAACAAGCTGATGCCGATTCCACTCTGGCATGCTAGCTAGCTACACAGACTAAGTAAGAGAATGCAGTGAGCTGAAGTGTTCTGAACTCTGTGGTCTTAAAGCAATTTCTTACTTGAAATCGAATTTAAAAAACAAAACCACTTTCTGTGGTGATCTTGGTGGCAGAGGAGATATTAGTGCTGGCCATGGAGGGGACAGAAGTGTGGCTTCCATGGTAACATAGAGCTTCCTGGCCTTCAGCGATGGTCTATAGACTGCACATCTGTCCTCTACTCCTCAGAACTGATTTCTAAGGTGACGTCTTTGTTTTTGTAATATGAAGCGCCTCGCAGATTCTCACTGTAAATCTTTTATGTAAGTAAACGGTTATAATTCTGTTATCTTAAGTTGCAGCAGAAGTACACAGCTTTCTTTAGTCATGTTGTTATTCTGTAATATACCTCTTTTTCGGAAGCTTATGTTTGAAGACTCTTCTTATTGCTTGTTATGAACATCTTAATTACAGATATGCACTGCTGTGGGTGGATGTTGATCATGTGCACATTTTTTCCCTAAACAGAGATTATCAGCTTTCCTATCTGTCTTTAAGAACCAGTATTGGTCTGTGGACTTCTTTCTTGTGCATTGTTTTGGTTGCAACAGATGCGAGCAGCCTTGTGTGCTATATTACCCGATTTACAGAGGAGGCTTTTGCAGCTCTTATTTGCATCATATTCATCTACGAGGCTTTGGAGAAGCTCTTTCATTTAGGAGAAATATATGCATTTAATATGCACAACAACTTAGATGAACTGACCAGCTACTCGTAAGTGTTTCTCTTTTCCCCAATATTAAAATGTGTTTTTGCAGCAACGTCTGAGCCTATAATAATTTTGTTTTCGCATGTGATGCTCTCTGTATATCTAGCTTTAACTACCCAACTAGCCATGCGGTGGTTGACTTGTTTGTTACATAGGAGACTTTACCAACACACTCAATAGGAACATAAATACAGTTGAACAAATTCAGTCATTTTTATTTCCTGAAACAACTTTCTCAGATGTGTATATTTTTGGTCTTCCCTTTGAGTTGGATCAGTCAATTTCAATGCAGGTGTTTGGCAACTAACCACTGTATATTTGAATCAAACAGTGATGTTAGATCTTGTATTCTTTAACCAAGTCCTGAATGTAGGAGGCAAAGATTTTTATATACCTTGTGTTTTGCATTTTCATTAACATTTTTGAAGTCTGATCATTTTATTTGAAGTTATTTTTAAAGTATAATTTCAGTACACTCTAATATGCTCTTTGGTGGACTATTTGTGATAAGAAAGGCATGAATTGAACATTTTTTAAGACTCTAGAATAAAATAGGACTTGAAAAGTAATTATGGTAGTAAAAAAGGGCTGACAAATATGTTTAATTAACAGTCTAATAGGTTATTAAAATTAAACATATCTAGGTAGGTGCCTATATTTGCTGCCTTTAGCATATAGCATTTAGTGTAAATGTGATCCTGCATTTGATTGACTTATAAGGAGAAAGTGGTTACCAAAAACCAAGGGTACAAGTTCCCTCCTTCTACTTTCTTAAGCCCCAAATCCCTGTACTCTCCCCCTTCCCTCCGAACCTCTCTTCCTTCTCTTTCCCTTGCCTTCCTTGTATACTCTCAACTTTGATGGGCAGAATAGGGAGGGATATGAAAATTTCTGTGAGACATTGACTTATTTGAGGAGATCAGTGTGACACTTAAAAAAAATTTTTTTTGGTAATGTTTATTTTTGAGAGAGGCGGGGGGAGGTAGGGGCAGAAAGGGAGGGAGTCACAGAATCTGAAGCAGGCTCCAGGCTCTGAGCTAATCTGCACAGAGTCCGACATGGAGCTCAAACTCACAGACTGTAAGATGATGACCTGAGCCAAAGTTGGGTGCTTCACTGACTGAGCCACCCAGGTGCCCCTGGTGACACTTTGATGCCAGATCTATTTTGTGCTATTTTCTCTGCTTTTAAACTGGTTAATTTTTTAAGTGTTATTTTTGGTTTTCTCTCTTTTACCTCCTTTTTTGACCTTTATGAAGCACGGCTTTTATAGCTCCGGCTGGCCAATCTGAGCAGTGAGTGTTTCCTTATGGCTAACTGAGTAAATAGACAGAAACATCATTTGCTCAGCTGACACTATGTGAGCACTCACAGGCACCTTGCAGCAGTGTTGCATAATTCATACCATGTGTGACTTCATTATTCCTGTCCAGCCCCTTTTCTATATGAAGAAACAGCCTCCCAGAGGTTAAAGCCTGCTTGGCCTCAGACAGCTGGTAAATGATGGAGCATGGGATGAATCCAAAGCCCAGCCTCTTGCCTGTTCTTAAACAGCTCATAATCTAATTGGGAATATTCCTGTGTGTTTCTTCTTTTTGTTTTTTAAATCCACAGTGAGACATTTCTTTGCTTGTGTGGGGGTTTCTAGCTTTTTCCTTAGGTGACATAGCTCTGGGTATATAAACTGAACCCTCTGATCTCCTTATGACTTTCCTAGTCCTATCCTGATGAAAAATTATATTGCATTTCTTTCCTTAAGGGTAAAACATAAGATCCATAAAGGTGAGCATGAGTAGGTAGGGCTTGTCAGGGTACAAAGTGCTAATAGGAGTATCTCTGTATTGGGAATCTTCGTGGCTCGTGTATGTGTGGATGGGGAGGAAGAGCTGCTCCCGTGGGAATTAAGTAGGTACGATTTAGTGGAGAGTGACCCTGCTAAACATGGTAGTGTCTTGTCAGATTTTTAAAGAAAATAGCACTGCTCCCCGCCCCGCCCCAAGGGATGTATCTAACAAGTTTCATTGAGATATTCTTTAAAATATCTTTGTATCGAGATTTGTATTAGTTATATTATGTATATAAGCCAAACCTTGTTCCTCCATTGTTTCTGATGTGTTTCCACTTTGTAGTCTCCATGCATCGCAACATGGGAAACAAGTTAAATTAAAAGCTACTGCACTGCGTGATTGATTTAATACAGTCATGGAATCCTTAAAATTTTACCCTGTTCTCGTTTCTCAGATGTGTATGTGTTGAACCTTCCAACCCTGGCAATGAAACCCTCAAGGTGTGGAAGGAAAAGAATTTAACGGCACAGGATATTTCCTGGGGAAATCTCACTGTTTCTGTGAGTACATTATGAGATACAGGATTTTGCAAATATTAATCTGGTTCTTTAGCTTTTTCTGAGCAGACCTACATTTTCTTCTTGATTAGCAGTGATGGTATGTTTTCAGAACACAGTATTGTGTCGACCATAGAGGAGTTACCACATTTTTATGTATCACACAATAGGCTGCAAGGAAGGAACCTGGTAAAGGGGGATAAAAATGGATTAAATATGACTCCCAAGGTATAATTATTAAAAAGATGTGAACATACTTCTGGTTTCTAGTTCCATGTAGATTGATATGTTCACAGGAAGTGTTCGCTAGGACTGTGGCTGCACACAGTAGAATGTTGACAGTTTCGAACAGCCCACACCTTGTCCAGCTTGCTCTGTATCAGTTCATGTGCTCCATGAACACTTTCTTAGAAGGTCACGTGCTTACTCATGTCCTCAGTGTCGAACTGAACCTTGTTTAACTTGGAGAGACTAATATAACTCAAGCACCTAAGGAAGGAAGGAGAACAAAAAACATGTAATGAGTGCCTACGGTGTACTGAATACTATTACGTATTCTTGTGTTCTGTTGGGGTATGTTGTCCCACCTTTGGAGTATCTGTTTTGGGCTCTTCCTAGGGATTTGAGATTAAGTTATAAAATGATTGTAGCAATATCAATTAAAACCAAGATCCCCTGAGCTTCTCTGGCACCTTTTATATCATATAAGCAATTGCAGGTCATTTTTTTCCTCACCAAAGATAGCTTCTTAACTGTTATCATCGGAAGGGTATCATCTGCCATTTTATCTCATTGAAAATTTACCTCTCTATGGTCCAGTGTAGTAGCCATTGGTCACACGTATCTATTTAAATTGAAGTTAAATACAGTTAATGAAAGGTTCAGTTTGGAGTTGCACTTGCCACATTTCAAGTGCTCGGTCACCTGACTGCTGCATTGGCCAGTGGAGACCTAAGACCTTTCCTTCATCATAGTAAGTTCTGTAGGACACTGCTGATTATATACACTGCCATATCTAGCAGGAATCAACTTAGAGTCATGCTTGACTCTTTTATATTTAAAAAGTCATTTTTTGCTATGAAAGAGGTAGAGGTAATAGAGGTGTTCAAATGAAAGGGATTTGTTTAAAAAAACAAACAAAACTCCACCTCATTCCATGATGAGTAGAAGATCTTGGTAGTACAGACACAGGTCTTTTCAACGTGTCTTCTTGCTATTCAAAAGGCCCATTTTTTTTGTACTTTTGGCTTTTATTTTTGTGATCCATGTTGTAAATTTGTAGCTTTACAAATTTCAGCACATGGAAATTTAGAATAATGGAACCTGTGACTATTTTTCCCTTGGTGAGCCTGAGTTGTGTTGTTAAAACAAGTCTCATTAGAATATAAGAGAAAAGTGACATTAGAGGCATGTGTCGTTTTTTAGTCTCTGAATGTCTTTGAGTGATTTTTTCCCCCCCAAAGGAGAATCTCGTCAAAAGATTTCTATTATTGCATATATTATGCTGTATTATTGATTATGTTATTGATTTTTTTTTTAAATGGAAATACTGTTTGAATGGTCGCTTTACTGCTCCCAGTCCCCTGCTTTAATCCCATGGTCTTGAGTGAAGTCTGAAACGCCAACTAGTTTTTATTCCTTATTTGAACTTAGCACTTTTGTTTAAGTAACTTGTTTAGAAGTAAGGATAGTAAAATTGTAGGCCATCAAGAATGCATACAAAGTATTCAGGAATTACTATTCACTCTGAAGCTTTCACTAAAGAGTATGTGAAGTTGAAAGAAAGGACCGTATGAGGTAACTTGGCAAAGCACTGTATTTCCATTCAGTGATTTAAGATGCATGTATTTTTCAAGCTGTAGCATCTCTGAACTCAGGGTACGTCTTATAGTCGATGTTGTGTTAAAGTTGACTTGGCAGGCTTTTTTCCTTTCTAAGTGAAATACAAAATAATGAATGTCTTCAGTCACCAGCATCTTAGAGTCAATAGAGTTCATTAGTAATTTATTAGATCTCCGAGAATCTTATTCTCTCCTTTTTCTATTTTTTCTCCCCCCTCCCCCACCCAGGAATGTAAAACCTTTCATGGTATGTTTGTAGGATCAGCGTGTGGTCTTCATGGACCTTATATTCCAGATGTGCTTTTTTGGAGTGTCATCTTATTTTTCACAACATTTTTCCTGTCTTCATTCCTCAAGCAATTTAAGACCAAGCGGTATTTTCCTACCAAGGTAATTGGGATGTGATTTTGGGCTACTAGTAATATTCATATTTTTGGTTTCTAATGCCTTGGTTTGTTTCAAAACCATAATAAATTGTTTGAGGTTAATACTTGATGTCAAATAGTTGTAAAGAAATTATTCATAGTGAAAAATGTGTATTACATGTCTAAACATGTAATAAAGTAAATAAAATAAAGCCTTACCATGAGAGATGGTAGGTTAGTTGTGAAATTTATCTTCTGTCTTTTCAAAGACATTAGAAATAAATGTAATTCATTGACACGTTATCACTAATTAAAAACCTTATTCACACTTTCTAGTGGCATATTTTAATGTGGAGGATACGCATTATTTAGAAAGGACACACAGTTTTTCTGTGTTTATTTTAACTTGATCCTTTTAACATAGGTGCGATCGACAATCAGTGACTTTGCTGTATTTCTCACAATAGTAATAATGGTTGCAATTGACTACCTTGTAGGAGTTCCATCTCCTAAACTTCATGTTCCTGAAAAATTTGAGGTAAGGATTAACACATTTGGTTATTTGTTACATGGGAATACCAAACTATTAAAACAATTTTTTTAATGTTGATTTTTGAGAGAAGGGGACCAGCTGTGATCAGGGGAGGGGCAGAGACAGAGGGAGACACAGAATCCAAAGCAGGCTCCAGGTTCCGAGCTGTCAGCACAGAGCCCGACGCCGGGCTCAAGCCCATGAACCATGAGATCATGACCTGAGATGAAGTCTGATGCTTAACCGACTGAGCCACCCAGGCGCCCCATAAAGTGAGACACTTTATAGGAATATGTATGTATATATACATACAATTTTCTCTCATATGTAAAAAATGACAAGATGAGAAGAGACAAGTGTACCTACTTAGGAAATGCTTGCAAGAAGGTATCAACATTAGTCCCATCAGGGAATGTGAGTGAAAATATTAATGGTAAGTAGTTGGGAGTCATGTAAAACATTTGACCCTGCAATCACAGCTGAGTTCATGATGTGTTTTCCAGGCCAAAGACAGTCTTCATTCCTCTGTAAGGAAGTGACTCAAACTTGAATTTACAAGTGTAACAACAAGATTCTAGTTAAATTTCTAGAAGGGTGGTGTATCTGATAAGGAAATGGAATGCACCACGTATCATTTTCCAGCAAAGTCAGGAGAGAATCAACTGTATTCTTCCACCAGGAAAAGGACACTTAGCTGACCATCCAGGAACCCTTTGCTTTCATCAGCAGACTGTAGTAATGTTGTACATAACAGACCACAGCATATTCTAGCATCCAGGGGATGTTTTCCCATCTAGATAGGAGTTGGTAGCTTTTTGAATGGTTTCTGGGATTTTCTTACAGTCGAGTATTTGTATCACTAGATATGTTTATATTTGCAGCAAATTATATGACTTCTTTTAAAGACAGAAGGTTTAAAGGGGATTAGAAATAAGAAATGCAATGAATATAATTTTAGTCTGTTTTTTCTTTCACTGGGGGAAGGAATTATTTTTAAAACCAGTGGTCTCCAAGGTAGGGGTGCATGAATGGAAAATGATCCACTAAATTTTATAGAAGATCTCCTTATATTTTTATTTAAAAATAAAATTTTAGCTGTATAACACTATATGAATTTTACTATGGAAAACCATGAGTAACATAATACATAAATGCATATCGAGCCATTAGATATACTCAATTTTATTGAAATTTTAAAAATTTTGGTGTTTAAAGTATATAATAAAATTTGGAAACCTTTTTTAAAAAGCATAGCTATTGAACCACTAAAGATTTTGGGCCTTAATTAAGAGATGACTGTATGAAACTTATTTTATTTTTTACCAGGTCTTAGAAGTAAATGAAACTGTAGATTAATATTGGTTTGAAATATTGATGTAATTTCCTATAATCCTGGGCCCAGTTCCTTGTTTTCATTCCTAAATATATTTTTGTTATTCATTTATTGATCTAGCTTTTTAGTAGCAAACTGATTTCAAGGGGCGTCAGATGCATTGGGGAGATCAATCAAGGAACACTTAAGAATTGTGCATTGTGTAGGTAAAATATTTTTGTTCATGTATGGTATTGAATATTAAGCAGTTTAATGTGTATCAGCGTGGGAAAATTGGAATGCCTGAAATTGAAAATATTAAATTTCCTCTGTATGTCAACAGATGTTTTCAGGAAGAAAAAAAACAGGCTTAAAGGGAAGTGTAGGTAACGAAAGCACTCTTAGATTTCAATATATCTAGTGCCCTCCAAGAAAACTGAATTCTCTTAGGATCTTTTAAAAGTTTTGTTATGAAACCGATTTAACGTTACAGCATTGAAGTGTATTTGTGTCTAATAAAGTGCCAGGGTTTTGTCAGTAGATACTTTGGAAAAGTATGTCCTGAGGCCCTAGTTCTGACTTAGTACTGAGCCTGCTGAGTTCACTAGTCTGTAGGATCTTCAAAGCAGTTTAATTTAGGAGTTGATCTAGGCAGTAGATGGACCTCACTTTATTTGAAGTAGGTTAGGAGCCTGTTGAAATGGCATTCTACTTCACTTAACCTATTTATCTATAACAAATTTCCCCAAACATTAAGCCTTTAAAATACCAACCCCTCATTTGTTCATAAGTGTGTGGCACTGGGTACTTACGCTTAGTAGGGCAGAGTAGGATCTCTTTTGGTTTGGATCTCTCTTGGTTTGTGGCTCCGGTCATCCATTGCCTTGATGGGGCAACATGGCTCCATTCCCATGTCTGGGAACTCAGTTCAGATGGCTGAAATAGCTGGGGTAGTTGGCTCCCATCTCTCTCTCTCACTTTATTGTATCTCATCCTCAAGAAGGCTTATCCAGGCTTACTCAGCAGCTTAATCTCAGGGTTCCAAGAGGGTTAGAGAAGAAGCTGCAAGGTCCCTTGAGATCAAGACTCAGAAATCACAGTGTCACTTGGCTTTATTTTGTTGCCTAAAGTAAACCGTAAAGGCATCCCAGACCCAAGGGGAGGAAATGGACCCCACCTCTTGATGGAAAGATTGACTACATGGACAAGCGACCTGCATTGAGGGATGGGAAACATCCTTGTGTCTGTCTTTGCAAATAATCCAAACATAGGTTCTAAGACTTAATTTAGGTCTTTCTGATTCTTTGGCATTTCTTGGAATAGATACAACCTATGTTGTGGAAATTTGTGCAGTAGGAGGAAACTTCTTCCTTTCTTTTTATCTGTAATGTTTTAACAGCCTACTGACCCAAGTAGGGGCTGGATCATAAGCCCGTTGGGAGAAAATCCTTGGTGGACTTTATTAATAGCTGCCATACCAGCTCTGCTTTGTACCATTCTCATCTTTATGGATCAACAAATTACAGCTGTCATCATAAACAGAAAGGAGCACAAGTTGAAGGTAATTTTTCAATTTTGGGTCAGGTGCTGTTATTTCAAGTGTTTGAGTTTCTTGTCATTTCGCAATGACTAGAAAATGAAAAGATGTGAGATGGAAATTAATTCTTTCTCTCTTTATGAAGTCGTGTATTACGTTAACCCACAAGACCAGTTTAGACTTACAGATGTTCTTATTCATTTTACTTTCCAGAAAGGAGCTGGGTATCACCTTGATTTGCTCATGGTTGGCATTATGTTGGGCGTCTGCTCTGTCATGGGACTTCCGTGGTTTGTGGCTGCAACCGTGTTATCAATAAGTCACGTCAACAGCTTAAAAGTTGAATCTGAATGTTCTGCTCCAGGGGAACAACCCAAGTTTTTGGGAATTCGTGAACAGCGAGTTACAGGGCTAATGATTTTTATTCTCATGGGCCTGTCTGTGTTCATGACTTCAGTGCTAAAGGTAAAAATCTCTTCACTGCAGTGTTTTAAAATCTTCTTTGTTATAAGGTTTATACATGGTTGTGTGAAATTGAAACATTAAAATGGCTAAAATAAGTCTCATTTTCTAGAATTTGTTTGGAAAATAATATTTTGGTGAATTGTATTTAGTACAGTGGGCATTTCAGTGTGAGATGTATCCATTTTAGAAATATTGTAAAAGGATACTGTTAGGAACTGTAGAGTTTTGAAAGGAGTTAGTCCATGGCTTATGATCTAAAAGAAGAATATACCCAGAGGATTTTATAGGCATCATAAAAGAAGTAATACTGAAATATGGATGAAATAATTATTTGACCAAAATGTGAAAGTAATAGTGCTGTTATATAAAATAAATGCATTCTTTCTGATAAAATAAATGAAATAGAGGTGGTAGTACTCATTAGAAAAACAAAAACAGCTAATGGAAATGAAGCATGCAAGAAATTAAACTTCATGTTAAATATCTTTTACTTATATCTGATTTGTACTGTACATATCCTATTGAATCTAGTGATTAAAAAATAATAACAATAGCAAGTGTAGCTAAGTGTAATTTTCTGTTTATTATGGAAGAGCTCAATTCTATGTTTTTCCTTAGGTGTTTTCATTATTTTCATTGCAAAGAAAATTATTAAGTAGGAGTTGTGTACATTTATAAATTAGGGAAGAAACTTAGAGTGTGTATGTATGGTACTATATTAACTAAAAAAAAGTTAAAAACTACAATTCTTTGGCCTTCATTTCATGTGCTTTCTAGCAACTAACTAATTCACCAAATATTTGTTGAGTACTTATTGTGCTATTAGGACTAGGGAAATAATAATAAACAGGATCCATTACTGTGTGTTTTTAAGAACTTGGCTGTCTAGTTGGTGAAACAGATAGGTAAATGGGCAGTTACTGCCTAGTGGTAAGTGTGTTGTTAGAAGCACTTGGGAGTGGAGAAGAAATATTTAGTATCTCTTATGGGGATATTGTCCCCTAGTAATGAAGGTTACTTTTACATTTTTTTTAATGTTTAATTTATTTTTGAGATAGAGATAGAGACAGCGTGAGCAGGGGAGGGTCAGAGAGAGAGGGAGACACAGAATCTGAAACAGGCTCCAGGCTCTGAGCTATTCCTCGGCACAGAGCCCGACGTGGGGCTTGAACCCACTAACTGTGAGATCATGACCTAAGCCGAAGTAGGACACTTAACCGACTGAGCCACCCAGGTGCCCCTACATTTTTTTAAGTATTGACTGCATATAGGCAGAAAGGTCCAAATAGAACATGAAGAAAGCCCTAACATGAAAAGTTAGTCTTCCTGTTTTCCCTCCCTTTCCAAAAGCAGCTCACCAGAGGTAATCTCTTTATTTTTATTTTGGTGGTTACAGCCATTCTAGTTTTATATACTTTTATAATTTTACTTTTTGCTTTATTATTCTTATACTGCATCTCTTTACTGATAAGACTGAATCTCAAAGTTTAGTCCAGGGACATCTGGGAGCCCACAAAAGCACAAGTATTTGCGGGGAGCATGTCCTCAGTACCTGTTCAGAACGTAAAGGGGTCCTGAGACCGAAAGCTTGGGAGACTGTCGTGCAGGATTGGGTGTTTTGTGAGGATTTAGCACACTTTAGTGTCCACTGCCCACTCTCCCAACTGTCACCTGCGTTTGGCTGAGTTTGTTTTTAGCTTTATTATAATGGATACTGACATATACTCCTCTGCTGGGATTATAAACTTTCCGTGCTTTTTTTTTCCCCCTTGTAAGTTAAATTATAAAAGCTGAACATTCTCCTGTTTCAGGAAGACACGTGCAGAAGATAAATGGTTTTTCAAGGACACTGTTTGTTCACTAGCGTTTTCCTTATTTCTAGAAAAGTTAGATCTTATCACTGAAAGATCTTGTAGTTCTGTCGGCATAGGTGCTCACTATGGTTTCACGTATGTATTACTGTGACATTGTTTTAGTAGCATGAGTTCTTTCTAACTGTGCTCCTTTTACTTGCAGTTTATCCCAATGCCCGTCCTCTATGGTGTTTTCCTTTACATGGGAGTTTCCTCATTAAAAGGAATCCAGGCAAGTCAGAAGTATTTAATGATTTTGTTGAAAAGCTTACAAGTCCTTTAAATTTGCAAAGATTGTCTTCATGTTGGTAGTGATGTATTCTCAGCTCTGCTATTTTGGGGAGGCAAATTAACTGGTGACTTCACATTCACATTTTCAAAGTGATTATTGCTTACTGCACATTTTTCCTTCAAGAATGAGATCATGAACTGATATGGTCCTTGCTGATTTTTAATTGAAGCCATAGAAAGGCCTTGTAACTATTGATAAAGATTAGGATAGTAAGAGGGAGGAGGTTGAGACCGAGAATGGCACTTGCATAGTGTGATACGGTTTGTAAAGCCTCGTGTATGTTATTACCTATGACTCTCAGAACAACACGGGAAGCAGGACAGGAAGAAATACTAATTTTGTCAACTAGGAGGCAGAAATGGAGGGAATTCCTGAAGGTTCCTAACTAAGTAAGCAACATAGCGAAGGCTAGAACCTAGTGATTTTCCTACTCTGTCTTGTTTATAATACTTCCTGGATAACAACCTGATAAAACTTAGTAAGATATGGATTCAGTCTTTGTGTAAAACACTTAGCTCATTGAGAAAGCACTGTTAGTACCACATGGCCACCTCCGATCCTGAAAAGTATGTTGTCTGAAATTGCCAGCAAGAGCTAGCAAGACTTCTCAGAGGCAGCCTCTTTATTTTCTGCATACCCCTCCACTGGTCAAGAAATGGTCTCATTAACTCAGTTGCCTTTTTTTCCCACCCCCGTTACAACAATTTTGTGAGGCATGTAGATCTGATCTTAGTCCTAGTTTATAAATGAGGAAATTAGAGCTCAAAAAGACCAAGGAATTTGCTCATAGCTTTCTTTTCAGTGGGTAAAAAAATGGGCAATTGTTACTTCAGGCTATAGTCATAGACTTGATGATGTCAGAGTTGGAAAGAGCCTTAATTGTTACCTTTATTGTACATATTAGAAAACAAGTTCAAAGAGATTAATGGCTTGCATGTTTGCTTATCGGGGCTAAATTTATCTAAATATTTCAATCCTCCAAATGAAGACATTTTGGTTTGAGTTTTCTCATTAAATTAATTATATTAGTTCAAAATGATTCCCTCGATTCCCTCTCCCCATTCCACTGGGTCCAACGGTTTTATAGTGAAACACTGTCCTATATTATCAGAGCATATCAAGGAAGTTGCTGTTTGGATCACAAAACTCTAACGTTGAATGTAGTTTCTTTTTGTAAGTAACAGAAATGATGTTTTTGTTGAAAACTTTTTCTTGCTTTGTTTTGTTTTCCGTTCAATACATAGTTTTTCGACCGTATAAAATTATTTGGAATGCCTGCTAAGCATCAGCCTGATCTGATATACCTTCGTTACGTGCCCCTCTGGAAGGTCCATATCTTCACAGTCATTCAACTTACTTGTCTGGTTCTTTTGTGGGTGATAAAAGCCTCAGCTGCTGCGGTAGTTTTCCCCATGATGGTAAGGTGGTTTTGTTTGTGTTTGTTTTCTTCAGACTTTGTCACTAATTAATAATAACATTGTGTGTTTCAACAGTAATTATTTTACTAACATTTATATTGGTAATATAATGTAGTAATGTATTAGTAATATTTATATGTGAGAAAGGGAATAGCCAATTTTAAGCATCATAAGTGTTTTCAAAATATGAATTGGCCCTTTCTAGCTATTAAACCAGTCGCTTTAGAAACTGAATTCGCTTGTTATTTTCTGAAGCTTGTTTTGTTTTTTTAGTCCTTGGTCTATAGAATGCTGTTTTGTTTTTCTAAGTAACTTTCAGAATCTAGGAAGTTTATAGAACAAAGATGATAGCCAAATATAAAAAGCAAAGCAACCAGACTTTGAAAAAAAATTTTTTTTATGTTTTTATTTATTTTTGAGAGACAGAGAGTGAGCAGAGGATGGGCAGAGAGAGAGAGAAAGAGAGAGAGAGAAGGAGGGAGAAATATAAAAATTGAAGCAGGCTCCAGGCTCTGAGCTGTCAGCACAGAGCCTGACGCGGGGCTCGAACCTATGAACCGTGAGATCATGACCTTAGCCAGAGTCCGACGCTCAACCAACTGAGCCACGAGGCACCCATAATTCTTTTTCTTTTTCTCCATAATTCTTTAATAGAATGTTTCACTACATCTTTCTCAGGAATTAACAGATCTTGAAGTTAAAAAAATTTTTTTAGATCATAATAACAATAAGACAGTATCGTTCACTATATTTCATAGAATATCATAGAATATTGCATTTTGCAAATAGAGAATGTTCATTCTTTTGTAAATACCACATAAACACCGGTTATGTACATGGCCAGAATGATAATTTTAAAAAATTAAAAAACTATAAAAAGTATATAGGTAATATTTCCTGATCACAAATAAATTAAATTATAAATGAATATTGAAAGACACTAAAAATATCTTAAGTATTAAGAAATTAAATGCTGAAATAGCCCCTGGGTAGAACACTGAGTTAAATATTATGGGTATTTCAATGGAGAACTTATAACAAAGTCTGAGAGATACACCCAAGATATATACCTAAAGTAGAAAAATGTATACCCTTCACTATACATATTATTAAAAAAGACTTAAATACAACCAATTTTTTAATTTCTAACTATCAGTAGTGAATAAATTCCAAACTTGAGTAAAGAAAGAAAGAAAGAGCAAAATATACAAGATTAAGAAAGAGAAGAGATACATAACCACAGCTATGGAGGAGACATGAGGGGCTTTAAAAAAATACTACATGAATCTGTAGGAATAAGTTTGAACATATAGAAGAGAGATTGACAGACTATTTCTGTAAAGGGTCAGATAGTAAATATCTTCAGCTTTGTAGGTCATTAGATATATATGCACTTCTATAACAGGAGAGAAATTTCCACAATTTCTTATTGTTGAAACTAAAAAGTAAGTGTCCAGTTGTTTTTTTTTAAAATTTTTTAAATTTTTTTTTATTTATTTCTAGGAGAGAGAGAGAGACAGCGTGAGCAGGGGAGGGTCAGAGAGAGAGGGAGTTACAGACTCTGAAACAGGCTCCAGGCTCTGAGCTGGCAGTCAGCACAGAGCCCGACGCGGGGCTCAAACCCACGAACTGCGAGATCATGACCTAAGAGAAAGTCGGACCCTTAACCGACTAAGCCACCCAGGTGCCCCAATTGTCCAGTTTTTTAAAATGGACTGCTAATGAGAAAAATGAAACTTTTTTTCATTTGGGATAGTTTTTCTTTCATTTAATTGAGGTTCAAAGTGAGTGTTCCCTGTCATCGAATCAATTCCAAACGTTCATCTTTACAAACTATTCTTAGGCCGTACAAAACAGGTAGAGCCAGATTTACCCAAGTTCTGGGGTTTATCTACCACTCATCTAGAGGAAAAGGATTCGTTCCATTCCACACATACATTTCTAAAAGTTAACCCAAAGAGAAATATAAAATCTATGGATATGTATAACTCCATTGCACATAAGCTTGGAAAATGGTTAAAGATCTGCTCTTGGATCCCAGGCCCCAGAAGGGTTAGCATCCGAGTTTTAAAGAACAGTTAATTTCAGTACTTCTAAATTTATTCTAAACCAGAGGAAAAGATGGAAACTTCTGCATTTTTTAGTCAGGAGACACTAGCAAGATCTTAATACCAAAGCCCAATAAAGTACAAAAGAACGATGGTGACTTCTCAGTTATTAATATAAGTGCAAAAAATCTTAAGATATTAACAAATAAATTTACAGTGTTTCTATAAGTAGTATATCATGTGTAAATAGACTGTGATACTTTAGCAGTAAGCAAGAATTATCAACATGATTAAAGATAAAAAGACTTTTTATAAAATGCAGTCACTATGAATAAAAATTTATAAATGAGCTTTAATATAGGGAAGCTAGCTATTACTATTGCTATTAGATATGAATTGAAGGTTCTAACTATGATACAAGAATAATAAGTGGTATAAAGAAAAGATGTAACATTTTGTCAGTAATGTGTTTGTATACCTATGAACTCAAATGAGTCCAATAAAAAAAGACTAAAAGCCCTAATAGAATTAATAAGAATTTTGTTGGGGTGGGTAGTTACAAGAAAACTCATCGGCTTAACAAAAGAAATGTATTCTCTGATAGCCATGGATCCTAGAACTCTGAAATGAAAGTGTGGACGGGGCCGTGTAAGGCAATCCTTTTTTGCCTCTTCCTAGCTTATGGCAGTTTGCCAAAAATCTTTGGTTTTCTTTGTGTTGCTACTACCTTCGTCGTCCTGTGTTCTGTGTATCACTGTGTCTTTATATGACCGTTTATGAGGATACTGGACATGCAGTATTAGGAGCACATCACCCCCCCACCCCCGCGCCATATGACCTCTTAATTATATCTGCAACAGCCCTATTTCCAAATAAAGTCATGTTCTGAGGTACAGAGGGTTACGATTTCAATACATCTTTCATGGGGAACACAATTCAATCCATAAAATGTGGAAGTACATAAAATTAAGACCTGAACAAATAGGAAGATATCCCATGTTCTTTATTTTGCATATGTAGTATTGTAAAGATGTCATTTCAGATATGACTTTTATGAGTTTATTTGCGTGTGTTTGTGTGTACGTGTGGAGGTTGTTGTTAGTGTGAACCTGATGATTTTAAAACTTAAAGAGAAAAATGAATACCAGAGTCACAGATAACAACATGGATGGTAGAAATGTCCTGTATCTTTGGGTGTGGGTTCCACAAATGTGTACATTTGTCAGAAGCATCAAACTGTACATATGATGCTTTTCTATTTTACCATATGTAAATTGTATATTAATAAAAAAATAAAGTTGTAATAAATACCAGAGGAATAACAAAGATAATTAAGAATTCCTGGCTGGGTCTGGGGTAAGGGACTTGACTGTTCCTCTGCTGCTACCACACTGTTGTGACAACTAAATATTTAAAGTTTGCTGTCCAGTGAGTGCAGCTAACATAGTGTGGAATTGACATGGGAATAGACATAAATCAGAAAAATAGAATTTATCAGAATATATGTGAGAATTTACCACTTGAGTGCCATAAGCGAGTCATTTCATTAAAGATGATAACTCATCTCTGTAGGAAGATTTATATAATCTTTGGTGATTTGACTGTGTATGGGGAGCTAAGGTTGCTTCCTTACCCAATACCTTACTCAGAAAGAAACCATCAATGAATTCAAGATTTTAGTAGTAGAAGATTTTAAAGAATGTTGTATAGTTCAGTGATTGAGAATCACTTCTCAAAGAAGATAGGGAAATCCAACTGTAAAAGATAGATAGATATATTTAACCACGTAATTAATTGTTTTCTGCAACTGTAGTAAATCATATTCTTAACTGGGAGAACATATTTGCAACATATAAGGTGTATAAAATGCTTCTACCTAAACTACACAGAGGTCTTATGAATTTGTGAATAAAAGTCATAAAAAGCAATTGAAAAACAGGGAAAAGAAAGTAATAGCAAAAACGGTACGAAGAAAGAAATCCAAAGGGTCAGTGAACATTTGCAAACGTCTTCAACCTTAGTAGCAGTTAAAGGAAAGCACATTAAAGTGATGGTTTATCTTTTGCAGTTATATAATGGGAAAGTTTGAACCTAATATTGGGAAATGGATTCTCGAATGGAATGATTAGGAGATTTTTAAAAATTGTATCTATATAATGTATATAATTTAAAGTCATAAAAATTAATAGTTTTACTGTGAAGTTACTATGCTTAATCTGCTTTCTAATGTTATGCAAATACAAGGTATTTATATAGGAAAATATTAAAAATGGCATTTTTTATGTCTTTTCTTTGAGCAGGAAGTTTGAAACATAAATAGGTAATTCACTTCCTTTGAAATAAGATGGTATATGAAATAGATTTTAAATAAAATATATGAATCACTTTTGTTATTTATCATTTGATACTTTTTAAATGATATAATTTATGTATATTTAGATGTTATTTAATATTCTCTTCTCCACTTCTTTAAGGTCCTTGCATTAGTTTTTGTACGCAAGCTCATGGATCTGTGCTTCACAAAGAGAGAACTTAGTTGGCTTGATGATCTCATGCCAGAAAGTAAGAAAAAGAAAGAAGATGACAAAAAGAAAAAAGAGAAAGAGGTAAAAAGACTAGAAGTTTAAATGTACCCTACTCATTGTTTAATATTTCATACCAAGTAGCGGGCACTTTTACGTTCACTTTACAGGAATCGATTCCTTTAATCCTCCTAAGAACCTTATCATTGTGAAGTGTAGGCACTTCTGTCATTCCCAAATTACAAATAAGGAAATTGAGGCAGAGGAAGGTTAGTGGATAACTCGTCCCAAACATAAGCTCTTACCCATTTTACCAACTTGCCCCCTCGAAGCCCCGACCCCAAAACCACCTTTTAAAAATTACATATCCCATGTGTACTTAATTAACAGTGACAGACTTTAGCAGTGTTAAACATAGGTAGTGGAAACCTTAAATTCATAAGCACATTTTAGCCTACATTTAAATTTTAACAGCATTTTAATAATCTGACATCTATATAATGACAAAAAGGATTTTAAATATCATTTTACAAAAAGTACCATTAAACTCAATATTACATTTTCCCCCTAATTTTTGAGAGAAAGCAACATAATATATACCTTATTTATATTGCATAGTATTTATGAAAATGCATTTATTAAATTTCATGGACAAATGTGTTTAGCGATTGTTGGTATTTTTTTCATAGTTTGGATTACTGATTATGCAGTGCTGAGTTATGGCAGAATTGCTGGCTTTATGTTTACTGTCTAACAAAAATCATGACTCTTTGTTTAGGATACTCATTGGAATACTGCTTTGAATTGAGCCTCCAAAATTTTTAAAAGATTTTTGTTTCCTTGAAAACTGTATTTTATATGTACATGTGTATGAGCTTTCGGTGAATTTTCAAGTAGGATAGAATTTATTTATAAAATACTTAGGTTAAAATTACCTGCTTATTATTTTCTGCATGAAGTCAGAACGAGGGTCAGTGTGTACAGCAGGAAACAAAAGTACAGGGGCCATAAGCGCAAGCGCTCCTGGTCTCCGGCGGAAGAAGGCTTGAGAAGGGGGAGCGAGCCGGTGTGTCGGCCGCACAGTGTTGTCGCAGTGTTGTCACAGTGTTGTTAGGCGCTCCTGTCCTGCGCTCTGCCGTCCTCGGCACAGTCTCTCAGAACGCCCTGCTAGGGCCACGTGGATGTTGAGTTGAGGATGCTGAGTTGACGGCAGGAAGGAGGGCGGGGGTAGGGTGAGGAGGCGAAACCTGCTCTCCCCGTAGTCTCCTGTTGTAAGGAGTCTCTCCAGAGTCTCTCCAGAACCGTCAGCCAGTAAGTTACGTGTATACCTCGTGGCCCCATGCAGTTGCAAGGGATGCTGGGAAATTTAGCCTTTTTTTTTAATGATGACTTTATTTATTTTTTAACTGTTTATTTTTGAGAGAGAGAGAGAGACAGTGTGCAAGCAGGGGATGGGCAGTCACCCAGGTGCCCCCAAATGCCGACTTTTTAAAAGCTGGTGGCATATTGCCACCTTCAAATAGTGGGATTTCTGTTGCCAAGAAGGAAGAGTGGGAATGCCCCCCGGTCCACCCTGCCCTGTCCCCAGTGACTGTGATGTCATGACTTGGGGCCATGTCTCCAATAGCAGTTGTTCTCTGTCTGCGGTGACATAGGGGTCATAGTGCAGTGTTTGAGAAAGTTGTCGTTGTCAGAACTGGCGGGGCATCCAGTGAGTGGAGGCCGAGGATGCTCCTCAACACCCTGCATACACAGGACCGCCGCGTCCGGCAGGTGACTGTTGGCCCTGCCCGGCCGTGTGGCCCAGGCCGAGGAGCCCCGCCTTTACAAAGGAGGTTTTGCTTAAACTGTATTGTAGTGAAAGCCGAGAGAGTTCACAGAATTTTATCTCTTACTCTGTACTAATAATCGATAACAACAATTTATGTAGCTAAATCGATTTTAAAATAGTGTGAAGGGTTAAACTTAAGTGAAAGTTATAAGCATTTAAAATTTAGTCTGTAGCCACACGTGTTATGTTTCTAATAGTAAAAGGACAGTCATGACGGATATGTTATATTTAAATAATATTGTCAGTTTGGGTTTCGAATTCTTGGAGATGTTCCATATTAATTGGTCCTCCTGGACATGTTCTGGGAAGAGTAATGTTTTCATGTATGTGCCCCGAAGGAAGCAGAGCGGATGCTTCAGGCTGGTGACGACACTGTGCACCTTCCATTTGAAGGGGGAAGTCTCCTACAGATTCCGGTTAAGGCCCTAAAATACAGGTGAGATAAAACTTCATCTTGTAAAATGTATTTTCTACCCACATCAAGTCCACGAGTAAGCCATGTAATGCTTTGTTACAGTAGTGAGCTTTATTTTTAAAAAGATGACACACCTGGCTTCTGGCATATCAACTAACGCAGGGCTTCGTGAATTCAAAAGGAAGTCTCCAGGCCCTTCCCTTTGCAGGTGACAGGCAGGAGTGAAGAAGCAGCCGGGCTTAGACCAGAGCCTTAATTAACCCAGCTTTCCTGCCGCACAGACGAGAGCTACTTGTCTTCCATCGCTCCTTCTGTTTTAATGAAGTTTAAAATCAGTACATGAGTCTCAGAATATTTCCATTCTCTTGGTATTATAGCTTTCTCCTTTCTGCCCTTTACTGGCGCTACGTCAGTGTTTGCTGGAAGATAAACCTTGGTAATCTGTTTTCTTATAACCTTCTAAATTTTGACTATTCATAGAGGCCCTGGAACTCTCCTACTTTGCAAAGGTGTGACTTGACTATTGTCAGGGCTTATATGCTGGACAAGTTGAGTTTCATACACAGTTTATAGTTTATGACTTTGTTGATCTCTATGTAAATTTAAGAACCAAATTTAGTGGTAAATTCTGTCTTTAAATTCCGTACATTTTTGTAGTTTTAAAAGATGAAAAAACCTATATTACTTATGCACATACCTGATTCCTAGTTCCACGTTTATTCTATTTCTGTTTAGCTCTTGATAGTAGTAAAGTCAGGTTTAGAATGGTTATAGGTTCCACTTAATGGAAAAAGTTTGTTGGTATTTATTAACTTCAATTTTTTCCTCATTTTTAATTAATCTTTATAGTTCTTATAGATGGCATATATAGACTAGTTTTATTAGTATCTCGTTTTATTTTGGGGAAAAACAAAACACGTACCGTCTTCAGAAAAGTCTTAATTTTTGGTAACGAGAAAGGTCTTAGAGGAGGACATTTTGCAGCTAGAAAGTGCTTCAGGAATGTGTCTCTTTCTCTCCAGTTATTTGAACTTGGGAACACACCAAAGAAATGTTTGCTCACAGTAGGTAGTTTCAAGTTGGTTAGTAGGTAGTTTCAAGTTGGTTAGTAGGTAGTTTCAAATTCACCATTGTGAATTTGGGCATTCAAATGTTGTTCACCTTAAAAAAATTGACTTGGTAAAGCACCTTTTCCTAGAGATTGTTTAAGGACCATGTCACACTTCTCTGCAATCTTAGATTTTATTTATTTATTTATTTATTTATTTATTTATTTATTTTAATGTTTTTTTATTTTAATGTTTATTTGAGAGAGACACACACACACACACACACACACACACACACACACACACAGTGTGAGTGGGGAGAAGGGCAGGGGGAAAGAGAATCCCAAGCAGCCTCCACGCTCAGCTTGGAGCCTGACACAGGGCTTGATCTCATGACCTGACCTGAAATCAAGAGTTGGACCCCTAACCGACTCAGCCACCCAGGTGCCCCTGCAGTCTTATTATTTTAAACAACATTGGATTTAAAGTGTGAACACAGCTAGCACTTTCTAAGGATTGCTGTTTAGTCATTTGTCACATAGCCGCCATCACATTGTGAATTTAAGGTATGATTTGACATTTGTATTTGTCACTTATATGCATGAAATGTTGTTTGGTGAAGAAAAAGGACTTGTAAATATATTTCTATTAACTTCATAGCACTTTCCTATTACTTGTGACTGATAACCTCAAGCCCCAGATTATTTATGGATATGATCATTATTGGATTTGTTTCAAAAGAATTTTGTAGTATTTTATAAAGACTTGGAATGGTTACGTTTTTCTCTTACAATGAAAGGACAGTATTTTGTTCTTTGGATTTTGATAAATTTGATAGAATAATACTTTGACACTAAAAATGTGAATGTCTGCTAAAAGTGGTATTTATAAACCCATTTTTGTGTTATCTGTTCAAGTATTTTCAGAGTTCTGTTTTTAAAGTGTTGCCTTTTCCATCATTCTTTTTGAAGATTTTTGAAAAGCTATTCTAAACTAGCTTTAAAAAAAAATTATAATCTTAATTTTTTTTTATGTAACTGGGGCTATTTATTTAATGAGATTGAAATTTGTGCCAGTTATAAAAGTTCCCTAATTGCCTTGAGGCTGTATTTTTTATATTTACAAGCACATTAATGTATTCTTTTATGCTATTTCAATAATATGTTTATAACCAAGATGATCGTCTTTGGGCATAATTGCCAATTTATAGTCTTACTCCTAGCTGTGATTCTACAGAAGGTTGTAATTCTTCATGAGATCTTTATGGCAGAACTCCATAGTTCTGATATTTTGCTAGACCTTGGTTTAAGTGCAAGACAAAGAGCTTTCTCAATTTTAAGTTGGTGAAGACAAATATTATATAGTTAAGAGTGACAGTATTAATGCTTTTGCAAGTACTGAATACTAACCAAAAAGTGTATTTGTTCTTTAGTGTTGATCCCTCAGTTGTTAACATATCAGATGAAATGGCCAAAACTGCACAGTGGAAGGCACTTTCCATGAATACTGAGAATGCCAAAGTAACCAGATCTAACACGAGGTAGCTGTAACTATTTACGCATTTTCTAACTGTAGCCAATTTTCAGTTGACTTATGGATAGATAGCTATTTAATAAAACCATTACCTTTAGCTGAATTTGCATAAGTTTTATTCTCTTAACAAAACCAGCCTCCTTCTCTTCTTTTCTTCTTTCCTTTCATCTGTCTATCCATCATTTTACTGAATACTGGAAATCAGATATTAGTGCCAAATAAGTTATTTTTTAAATCCGTAGTTGCCTATTTCCAAACAGAATTTGAGCCATTTTAGAATAAAAATGAATATCACATATGGTAATATGGAATAAGTGTATAAAAAACCAGAAACCATATACAGAAAGGTAATTATCAGGGGTGACATAAATACTATAATTGGACACTACCTCAATCACGCTTTCTGATGGTCAAAGCTAAAAGACAAACATGATTGTTTTCCTTGTTTGGTTTTGTCTTGTTTTGTTTTGCTTGAGCCTACCATTTCTTCAGGTGAGGTAAATGTCCTAGAAGATAGTTGAAAAAAATTTAATCCATGGATACGAGGCCATTCAGTTTTATAGTGGACCACGGACTACATAACTATTTCATACCTCCTTCCTTAGATTTCTTGTTAGGTACCCAAGAGTACTTGAATCCCTTGGGTCTGGAGAAATGAGGTATTACCCTGTAGCATACTCAGTCACTCATGCTCAACAACTACTCTGTGCCACTTTGTGCCAGACATTGTTTTGTGTCAGTATTATCTGCTTGGAGATCCAATCAAAACTTTTCCAGGCAATGGTCACAGTCACTAGGTGTTTCTCATTAGCTGTTATCTTTCTGGCCACTGTTTTTTTTGATAATAAAAAACAGTGGTTAGGTTTTGTTCATTCTTTCCTTAGCTCTTCTTAGAGTTCTACTCCTACTTAATCTCCTGCCTGCCTTCCTGCCTTCCTTCCAGTTCTGATTCTCTAAGCTGCACTATTTCCTTCTGTCTTTGATCTTAACACTTTGTAAGTTTAACTCTTTGTCATTTTGTTTCTTCCATGCAGCTAGAATTTAGCTTGGTATTCTTTTTACTCTTAATAATTTTTCATACCTTGTCAGCACTCATGGCCCAGGTTATTTTGATAAATGTAAAGACCTTACCATAATAGCATTGTATCTTTTATACTTCTGCCTTTCTTTCAGGTTGCCCCTCAATTCAAAATCAAAGGGAAAAAAAGACCGTGTTTGGGTCATGTCATTTAACAGAATTTGGGGGTCCTTCTTTCAGTCTTATCTGGAGAAGGCAGCAAATCACAGTGTGATTTTGTACTTTTGAAAAGTTTTTCAAACACAGATATCCATATGTTAAATGCAATAGCCAATTAAATCTATATACGTGGAATCATTGTATTTGATATTGAAAATATAAAATAGGTGTGTTTGTATTTGTGAACCAGATTTGGGGAGAGAAAGTTTGTAAATCTGTTTCATTTTGCAGGAAGTTATTTTATGCTTACCTATATTAGCAAAGATTACTTTTCTTTAATGGATATGTCAGTGAAATGTCACATGCTACAACTGTTTATTTATAAAGTAAAACTAATGAGCTTAGTCATATAATGACTAATTTTAAGAAACTCCTCTTTAGTCGAAAAACATGAATTTCAGTGGCAAGCATATCCATTAAAAAAATCTAAGAAGTTTTAATATTTGTTTTTCCAATCAAATTTACTGATAGGAAAAGAAAGCAGTATAATAACAACTAGGAAGTCATATGTTTATAGTATTTATAGTCCTCTCAAAAGGCTAATTATGGATACTCAGTGTTGGCCATGTTCAGAATGTAATATTTGTCCTTTTCAAAATCATTTATTCTCATTCTTTGTTTTAAATAGCCCTGAAAAACCTGTCAGTGTGAAAATAAATTTTGAAGATGAACCAACAAAGAAATACATGGATGCTGAAACTTCGTTATAGAATTGAACCAAGAGGAATTATATATATAGCTATCCAGATATATATATACATATATATATAATGTGTGTATTTCATGTCACTATATATAACAATATTGTATGTCATGCTATTTATGCATGACTATTGAGTTTTTGAAGTAGTGTCTGAAGTTTGTTAGGAACACCATGGAGACTGTGTGTATAATGAAATAGTCTCTTAGAAATGAGGTACCTGGTTCTTACTCTTCAAATATTTATTTTGTTGGAAAAAAAATGTTCTGTTCTGCAGTAAAAACATGTGGGGAAATGCATTCATTCTGCTTTCCTTTAAATCCATTCATCAGTGGCCATTCATACCAATCTTAAATGACATACTTTGTCCATATATTTATAATTTTTACTTGAGTTACTAAAAGTCTGTGCTTATTATTTCGCTTCTGTTAGTTCTTTATGGGAAGAACAGGGAGTCTTTATGCTAGTGTTGTGGGACAAATGTAACATGTTATGGCTTCTCTGCACGTGTGTTTCATTTATGCACATATCTGTATGTTTTACAAGCAGTGGAGATTTCTTGGTTATAAAGGTAGAACAATAGAAATTTTCCAGCTAAGAACTATAGTTTTGACATTTATGTTATTAAAACTTATTTTAAATCTTAAACCTCCACATCCTAGGTTTCTATTCCGATACACAAGTAAAATTGTAGGTGATTTTATCATTTAACCCTGTACCGGTCATAACTTTATGGATTTTAGAAGCTATGAAATGCACATTTATAGTAGTTAAATTTTGTTGTCTTTGTAGAAATATTTTCTGAATCCTAATGCTTTATCAGAGCCCAGAGTGCCCACTCTGTTCTCTGCCTTTGCTGTTTTTTACTTAAAATGTGGTTTAGTTTGTATCAGGTTCAAGTCCTTGATTATTTTTCTATTACAAGTAATATGATTAAATAATCAGGAGTCAGAATTCTCTTACTGGGTTTGTGATCAGTATTACTTTATTCTAAAGAATTACCTTTCACTTTCTTGTTTACGTTGTTACTCTTTCTGTTGTATAGATAATATTTAATAGATTGTTATGTGATTTCATTTTAAAATATTTTATTTATTTTAATTGATATGATACTTAAATATTATATAAACATTTGAAAAGATAACAAATACAGAGTAATTTAAATTGTTAATGTGAATAGTTGGTGCTCACTTGCATTTATGGTTTATTATCTGAAAGCAGTTGACAGATTTTACATCTTTGATATAAAGCACTGCCATATTTGTATTTTAAAAGGAATTTAGACATTTTATGTATAGCTCAGATTGATGGCATTCTCTCTAGTTTGTGTTAGTATTGTTAATTTTGCTCTTCTGAGCTGCCTTTTTAACTTCTAGCACATCTTTTTAGTCATCTTTTGTATACCCTTAGCTCTACATGAAAAAAATAAATGTTGTTCTTGTTAAGCCTGTAGGACTGGATGAATGGGGTTTTGAAACTGATTTGGCAAGAAGACAATTTACAAAAACCAAATGAGTATTGAGAAGCCACAGAAAGCAGTCACAAACTTGTGACATGAATATTCACATGAGAATTTTAATGAAATTCCAGTGCTCCCTTTAGTCATTTGTAATTAAAGTACAAGAGTATGAAGAGTTGATCTTATAGAGGATCATGAGGAATGCCAAAAGCTGATATTTTAGCAATTCTGAAGTGTTTTGAATCCATTCTAAACGACTTAAGAACTCAGACGTAGTCTCCCCATCTGAGGCCATATCGTCAGATTCTAATGAAAATAAGGGATTTGACTTCTGCGCCAAATGGGAATTTGGAGATGTAGCTACTTTCCTTTAGAAAATCTAGCTGGCATCATTTGGTACTGCCTGCGGGAGACTTTTAGACCCCTGTTGGCACTTGATAACCGAGTATTACCCTTGGTTGGTGCTTGTTACTCTCTATGAGCTTCCATTGAAATGATTCCTATTTATCCATAGTGGCATAATCATTTCCAAAGACCCCGGTGTTTGCTGGTGTATTTTGTAAACTTCCCTGATGTACCCGAACAGGGGGAATTTCCCCCCATCCTTTCTTTGTGTCTGGACACCAGAGGGTTTACAAATGTGCTTGCTTCACAGGAAGGGATTTTAAATTTGAAACTGAAAACTACCTGGGATCATAGTGCTTCTGTAATTTTATTAAATTATGTGTGGTGACTGTTCAGTGCTGGACAAACCATGACTTGTGAAATGCATTGCACTCCAACAGTTTTTTGCCATGTTTCTAATTGTCAGTGGTTTCTGCTTTCTTTCAACTACTTGACTTTACAAACCGGTCTGACATGACTACTCCATTGAAGAGCAAAGGTAACTCATGTTTCTTAAGTAATTAACTGCTTGTTTTACGTGGTCATGATCTTTTTCCACTATTTTTGAAAAATACCAATCATGGATAGTGTTCATTGCAAGACAAGTGAAAAATGTAATTTACTGCATATATTGATTTTTCAGCGTTGCCTTAAATAGGTGTAAATGAGCAGTGGTAATTGCAATGTACTGATTTACCTCAAGGTGCAAAATAATTAAACCTGTACATATTCCATTTACAAAATAAATTAATATAAACAGCCCTGCACTTTCTTTGATGCCTCGGTTTCCAGGATGGAGCTTAGTGCTACTGAATACCCTGGCTACAGAGCCACCTCAGGATTTCCTTCTCTCCACCCTATTTTATTTATTTATAGATGTCTGTTTACAGAGACTATAATAAATCCTGATGTTGACCATCTGAAATTTACTTTCTTTTGAATACTATTTCACTCTAAAATAGCAGCTTTTGAGGAAATAGTGAACTTCCTTATGATAAAAAGATGATTCTATATATTCTCTAATAATATTAGGTGTGCTGAAGTGAAGCATACAAACCTTCTAATGGGTGTGTGTGTGTGTTTGTGTGTGCGTGTGTGCACGTGTGCGTGCACACGCGTGAAAATGATGTTAAAAATCTTAAATCTCTTCAGTTGAAAAAAGCTGTGGCGTATCAATGTTCATATTTGCCAAGTCTTTGTAAAACGTGTAGGACAAAATTTATGTGCTAATGCATGTGTTTATAAAGCAGATTTCTTTACCATTGAGAACTTTTAACTTTTGTTCCCTCCATCCAAAAAGCATTTGTTTCGTCCTTGTACTTAAAGTTTATGTATGTATATAAAAGCTTTCTAAGTGTTTCCTTTCACAAAAACAGGTTCACAATTCCTGTAAAACATAAAATGGTATCTAAAACTGAGGTATTACACCAGAGCTTGCTGTTTTTCGAGGATCATATCGTCCATCAGTTCTGTAAATGTGCTCAGTGGTCATGACATGTGAATCCTGTTTTAAAGTGCTCAGAGTTTGGATGTGTAAGCCATTGATAGAACATTGGGAATCAAACATGTTTAAATTAAATAACTTAATGTCCTAAATTTATTTATGCAGAGTACATCGTTATCACATACAGTACAAATATGTGAAGTGTCTTTTGGTCTAGTCCAAGGATTATTTATGTTTTAGAAAGTAAGCTTAAAGATTGTAAGGACATTGGAAATTTAAAATAGTGTTCAAAATTCAAAATTTGGCAATTTTTATGTAAAGTTGTTTTCTATCGTATCACAAAGTAATACAAGTATCAATAATAGGAAAACATATAGTTGAAAATGGAATCATCTACAGATCATTTTTAAACTTTAATTTAATTAGCACATACTGACTGACTTCTACAGTTGACTTATAGCAATTGTTAAACCCCAGTGGTTTTTTAAATCAGATTTTTGTGCATTGATTGATTGTGTTGTGGCTTTTCTTTTGTTGCTGTAATATTAGAAGTTTGGGGTGTTTTTGTTTGTTTTGTAGGGGAGTTACCTTCTAATGTTTACTATGTTTAAATAAATAGAAATTGAATTTTATTGTTCATTTATATAATATTTGATAGCTTGGTATAATTTCACAGTACAGTTCTAATTTTTATGACTTTTATAATTACAATGATAATATTTTCTTTTGTAATAAAATCCAAGGTAAATTAAACATTTAAAATGTAGAACTGGTATTTTTCATTTGTATGAAGTACAAGTCTCTACCAAGTCTATAATGTGAATGATCCTGCCTTTCAAATTTGTTTCATAATTGTTAGAAGAAAACTATTTTTTAGAGATGTTATTGAAGTTGAAAGAGCAATAAAAGTCTACTGAATTAGTTGTCGGATATTGTCTTCACTTTGTAATTTGATTATTAGAATTACTGCATATCTTCTCCATGTGGAGGGATGGGAGGTGAAGGAAAAATAGGTGATTTCTCTTTCCTGCTTCCTAATATATTCATATATTTCAGTAAGGGGACAGAAAAGAAGATTAAACAATATTATGTGTTCCACAGTGACTTTTTGGTAGTTAAGAAATACTGAAATTAAAGCCCTTTAAAAACAGACTCATTCATTATTCTCATTTTAAGACACATCAGTTTAGAATAAAATTTTGCAATGTGATGTGGAATGAATACATCACATTTCACGATGTGCAGTGAGTGTAAATTCTGAACTTGCACAGACTGAAGACTTGGGGGGGGTTGTTTGTTTTTAATGGCCAATTTTATTATGAGTTTTTAAAATTTGTACTTGTTAAAATATTTTAAAAATTTATTTCAGAGAGAGAGGGCAAGAGGGAAGGAGGGAGAGAGAGAGAGGGTGCACACATCTTAAGCATCCTCCATGCTCAGCGCATGAGCGTTTTGGGGGCACCTGGGTGGCAAAGTCCGTTAAGCATCTGACTCGTGGTTTTGTTTCATGTCATTATCTGACATCAGGTCACAATCTCGCGGTTCATGAGTTCAAGCCCTGCGTTGGGCTCTGTGCTGTCAGCACAGCTTGGAATTCTCTCTCTCCCTCTATCTCTGCCTCTCCCCTGCTCTCTCACTCTCAAGATAAATAAACTTTAAAAATTTTTTTAAATCAAGTTTTGGGAGATGTAGTCACTGCCCTCATGGACACATTGGTCATTCTGAGCAATGTTAAGATGAGATTGAGTAGGTCCTATACTTGAAGAAATATGGAGCATCATTGTGGATAAAACTGGGCTCTGGATTCAAAGTATGGGTTCTACTATACAGAACTGGGTAGAATCATGCAGGTCACTTAGTCAACTGTGCCAGTAACCAGCCAGCAACTTAGGAAACTTCTTGTACCTCCATTTTACAACTGTAACCTAGAATGGAAAACAATGACTACCAGACGATGTGGTGGAATAGTGTCTGGCCTAAGATGAACACTGAATATTTTTCAGTTTATAAAGCTCCATAATGTGAATCATCTTTTTAAAGCTAATGCAATTCATTCCTCCCCCCCCCCCCCCATGCTAGACTTGCCTACACTAGATGATAGGTACAGATGTCTTGAATGCCAGGTCGCTTTTACTTTCACAACACCCTATTCTCATTGCCTGAGCTGTGCAGTGCACTTGAGTAACCGAAAATGTGTTCACCCTGTGTGCAAGCTATTGGCACATAGCTTTGATCCTTTCCAAGTAACCTAACTTTTGCTTTGGAAGAGAAATATTTTTAGTGCATAGCAGTTCTTGAAACTAAGATGAAGCAGCTCTTTTGCACCCATCCACCCATTTTATTTCAAATGCAAAAAGTTGGGTACCCAAGTCCAGGAAAATCCAGTTTAGGAAACCTATCCCCAGGCTAATAGCTCTAGGTCCCGGTGACAGGCTGCAGCGCTTTGCTAAGTACCACCGCGCTCACCAGCTTACAGCCTTGGGGCTAGGACCTGCGCGTTCCATGGTTGCTACGGTAACCCTGCGGCAGGTGTCACTCGTCGCTATGGCGCTCGGCACGCCGCAGCACGGCTGCTCCTGATTGGCCGAAGCGCACCGGAGAAGCGGAAGAAGAGGTGTTGGCATTGGCTCCGCCGGCGCCGGTTGGTGGCCTTAAGCAGGATTTGATTGTACCAACGGTGCAGCAGGCAGTGCGGTCCTCGAGGTGGAGGGGACCGGGAGTGGGCTGGGCGGTGGGCGAGACAGCCCCCCCCCCCCCGCCC